TCGCAGCAGTGTCGAGGAGAATGGGCGTTGGTATAATTACCTGAGAACGCCCTTTCTATCTATGCTGCTAGAGAGCCCAGCCCCTCCCTTGTTTCGTTCGGATTCTGGCAAGAAATGTTAACCTTCTAGGTTCTGTTTGGCTTTCAGAGACACTCAACTAAAGTCTGTCAAGCATCTTCGCCAAAGCTAGGGAGATTCCCGCAGGCTGTCCTTTATGATAGACTCAGCTTAATGATGTCATCAGGAGGAGTTTAACCCATCCTGGGCTCTCTAGCAGCATAGATAGAAAGAGCGTTCTTAGGTAATTATACCAACGCCCATTCTGAAAGAAATAGCAAGATACCATGGATACTGTGGAAAACGTCAACTATTTTTCTATCCCTTCTATGTACCTTCAGTTGTTTCACTCAGTCAGTACCCCTCACCTTTCACTGTTTGCAATGGCTCTTTATGGAGCATTGCAAGCACTGTATCCGAAAGGAGAACTTTGAAGCCAATATAGGAGCATCTGGGAGGTTTAGTGATGCACCAGCTCCTTTTCCTTAAATGCTGTTAACTGATGAAATCTTAGAGATGCACATTCTTTCTAGCTGTCCCAGTCCTTTGGAATAGCCTCTGATCTGACATTCAAGGGGTCCCTAACCTTTTAGCCTTCTGGAAGATTATAAAGACCAGGCTCTTCCCATAAGCATTGGACTAGGTTAAAATTGATTTAGGGGATAGTTTGATTGGTCCAGCACCTGGTGGGGAGTTTTGTTCTGTTTTTATTGGGCTGATTTATCCCTTATTCCACACTGATCCCTTGCTAAAGATCTATGTGACTCAGAAATAATTGACTGGCACCTGTGGCTCAAATTCTGATCCATTATATCCAGCCAAGTTTCCGTCATTCACTCTATAACAGCACCTTGATATGTATGTATGTATTTCGTCAATTGGTTTTTCAATTTTTTTTAGCTCAGGCTCAAGTTTTTATTTTGTGCTCAATCATGATTGTTGCTCAGTCATGATTGTTGCTCAATCACGATTGTGAGTGCAGTATGAGAAGCATATAGGAAATATGTATTTAATATATTTATAAAATGTATTAGCCACCCATCTTACCTGGCTGGCTTACAATAATAAAAGAGTTTATATATAAAATCTGGGAGCAGGGAAAGGGGATCTGTTTATTAATCAACCACCTCCACTGTAATGCTACCCACTGGGGCCCCAAACTAATTGGCAGAGCCACGTCTTTAAGCCCTTAACAAAAGATCAGGAGGGTTGGGGCCAACCTCATTTGCGTGTGTGTGTGGGGGGGGGGGGCAAGGTGTTCCAGAGGGCAGGTGCAATGCAGAGAAGGCCCTTCTCCTGTATCCCATCAGCCAGAATAATCAGGCCAATGGAATGGGCCAATCCCAGGGAAATGAGACCGTCGCTCAAGTACCCCTGGACCCCTGCCATGAAGGGCTTCAAAGGTGATCGCCAACATCTTGAATTGTACTGGAAGCAGACTGGCAGCCAATGCAGCTCACAGAGCGGTAATGTTACATGGGCCTTTTTTCAGGCCCCATGAACTGCCGCCACACTCTGCACGAGTTTTAGCCCTTCAAGGGTAGCCTCAAGTAGAGCCTCAAACTATCCTGTGAGTGCATTACAATATCTTCACTTTTGTTCTTGCCTGTGGTAACATAATTCGGAAAACCATTACATTTTTGTCGCTGTGTGTTGGACACATGGAAAGAATGCTTCCGGAGAATGTTCATGAATGTTTTCGTAGCGGCGGGATCGGATTTATTTTAGCTGTTGCAATAAAAAGGCAACTTAAAATAAAGAACAAATCGAATGACTTGATATTTAGTTATGCTGTGTATACTGGTACAGAATTTGGCTTTTCTATTTGAGAGGCATTACCTTAGCATGCCTGATTATTTCTTCCAAATTAAATGGCGAATAGTTAAAGCTCTTAAGGGACACATTCAGCAATTCTGTGTAGTGACACAAGCTTAAAAAATATCCTGGACAATTTAACTACTGTTAAAGTGTTTTTTTTAATGAGATGTGAAAATGAAATGACATTGAGATGGGGAATGTAATCAATCTAGCTTGATCCTCCTTTTTTGTATCAAAATTATTGATGATGGTGCAGTATTTTATATATAGAGAAGCACTCTACTGAAGATTTTCTTTGGCTCAGTTATCATCTAAGCATTTGTAAAGAATTGCTCTGTGAGCATATCTGGGTCAGGGAGGTGTGTCACCTTATGTAATCTTTATATAATTAGTTCTTTGTTAGGTCTCTCCCCAGAGTAGGAGGAACCAAAAGCTACTGAGTTGACTGAAGAAATGAGACTATACTTTGATTAGCCAATCTTGTAGAAGTGCAGAGGTTTTTTTTAAAGGCTTTGGCATTCTGACATTTGCCAGAAATATCTTATTTGCTATCGTTGACGGGAGATGAATTAATTTATTTTCACCCATAATAAAACAGCATTGGTTGTTTTCTTCACCTTTGTTTTACATAAATTTCTAATAGTCCCCTCCTCCCTTTTTTTGTCACACTTTATGAAGTAGGGATTGGACAAATTGGTGAATCATTTCTAGTCTCCTTTACATATATACTTTGGAATAAATTATAGATTTCTTTAATAAATGAAATTGAAGGATGTATCATTCTTGCTGTGTCTTGGCTGATTAAAAAAAAAAAACACCCTAAACATGATGAGACTGTTAGTATTTGAAAAGACTAACCCCCAAATACCTGGGAATTCAGAAAGCACCCAATTCAGAAAACAATGACAAATAACTTCTTTACTTTTACCAAGGAAACTATAGATAAAGACCTGAAATCATTAGATGTCGAGTTCAACTTAAGATATCATCTTTAATAATCCCTTTCAACTGAAAATGTAGAGCAATTTTTTCTGTAACTAGGATAGATGCTTGTTTGAATCCAGAAACAAAAGAAGCTATTCTTACATATTGTTTATATAGAGTGGTGATATTACTTGAATTCACGTTCACATAAAACAGAAGTTGACTTTTTTACTTTTGGTTTGCTGATATAATGGCATTATAACATAAAAAAGATTGTACCAGTTTTCCTTATATTTGAAGTAACACTCTTTCTTCAAAGTAACACATTGATGACAAGACTGTAATTCAGGCATTCCTTACTATACTAGCTTTTTTAATGCATGGAGTTTTTGTGGTTGATTTTACTCACATTACTGTTTGACAAATCACAATATCTCATTCAGAATTCATTATATCACAAAACAGGTTTTATTAGCATATATGACATTCAAAATAATAGTGTAACTGACCCATTATTTTTATTTATATATACATATATATTTGCTAGCTGAATAAATTTTAGGATATATGACATCTTGGATTAATAAGTATGCACACTAGGAAAGTTTTTTTTTAAAGAGATATTGAGAATTTGGGAGAGAAAAAAATAAACAGATTTGGGAGACCTTTGAGTAGAAACAGGCAGAGGTACAGTAATAATAATAAGCTAATAAACTGGGAATGCCGAAAATATTTGCTGTATCATCATATAGTTGAAGGGCAAGACTACACTGGAAATATCTAATCTAATATTCTGCTAAATCAGTGTTTTTATTTAATTTTGTTGAAAAGATGTATACAAGCAGCAAATTTTTTTTAGCAAATGTATGTGAGTTATGACTTTTTCTCTCTCCTCTCACTAATGCTTGATTTTTCAGCCTTTTGAATTCTGCATCAATTATGCCTTTGTTTTTAATTCTGGGGAAGTCGTTGGTGTGATGACTCAGCCTGCAGAATGAAATCACATGGACTGCTATTACCACTTCCTATTGCCCTTTTTTAGCATTCTTTTGATCCAGTTATATAATTGTGAATGAAACAGAAAAGCCAGTGGAGTAGAAATGCTGTATATTGTATTATGAAATCTTGGTTGATATGATATGTTGGAACAATGCGACTTAATATAAACAACTCAGAAAATTCAAGGAAACCAGTCTGTTCTCAGTACTAGGAGTTCTCCAGTTAAATGAGCAGGAGCTCATTTGTTGTGACATTTTCACTCCAAGTGAATCCTTAAAATCCCTGTCTGTTCTAGAAAATGTATCAAGTTCACAATGTGATCTGACTTGTGCTTCCAGGAAAAAACCCAGGAGGGGTCAGTTTGGGTTCAGTTACACCTCTTACTTAGGGGAATGTAAAATAGCAGCTATTTGCTTTCAGTTCATTTCTTTTAATGGGCTTTGCCAGAATAGAGACAGTTCTCTGAAAAAGCAGCGTAGAGTAATCTCACTGTTTTTAAAAGAGTATTTTGGTACACTTTGACAGATATAGATAAACTTGGTCTTCTGCACACATCTGGATTTGTACTAACACATGATCTTTCAAACAATGTTTGTGCAACAGGAATATCTTCCGTGGAGTCTAATCTCATACTGAACTAGTAAATAAGTAGTTGGAAAAACAGAAGAGAAAGGGAAGTTGAGCTGCCACAACATCAGATCTAGGAAGCAATAGCATTCCACCCATGTTGTTTATGTTTCATAGAGTTTCACTGAAACATTTTCCAAAAGCTGCTATTTGATTATGTATTTAAAAAATAGCCTTTTTTGCTACATTAACTATCCAAGACATTTTGTCCAAACTGGCATTCCCTGTTTCTTTTCCTATAAGAAATTCCTCTGTTACAGTTTGTTTACTTGGCAATACTTGATTAACACTGGGATTATTTGCTGCAGGAGTCACATAGTATTTAATGTGTCAAGGAGCAGGTTGACATTTCCAGCTGTGGTTTGACTTTTGTGGTTGTGTATGAGGTTTACAAAAGAACTTGGAGAGTTTTGATTCATTAGCATTTCCAATAGATTGAAGTAAACTCGAAGCACATGATCAAATGATTGAGGAGTCATTTATTCTTTCAGTAAGTTCCATGTTTGTTACAAGTGTGAAAAGAAAGAAAATTATTAGCATGTTTTGCATAATTTACTCTAACGTTGTCTTTACAGATCAATCCCGTGAAGCAGCTTTTGAAAGTGATCTTGTTCAACATGGGGAAGATGGAGAATGGCAGCACTCTACTTCAACTACCTCATCTCAGAGTGAACAGGCAGAGAAACTGTTGCAGAACCAGCACCAGAGCCTGGCCTCTGAGGACACCAAAAAGAAGAGGGCTCAGAAACCTTCTCACATGAGGAGGAACATAAGGTCAAGATGCTTTTTAAAATCATTTGAGAGTTTTAATATTTACACTGACACGATGTTCATGCATAATTTCTTGAATCCAGGTTTACGATGGTCTGAGTTCAAGAGCACTAGACAAAGTGGAACTAAAATCCAATTGGTGAGGAAATATTGCAGGCATCTCTGATAATTGTTCTAAGAAACTTCTTTCATGGCTCCAAGGAAGAAAACTGATCATAACTGGACTGAGATTTCAATTTCTGTAATACCCTGTGAAAGAGTTGAAGTGTGATATCTTTCCCTTTATATCGGAGATATGAAGTTTCTGACCAATATGCCTCATCTGATCCACTTGGACCAAGCCTATTTGACTTTTGAACATGTCCCTGCTTTGGTTTCCCCTAAGTTCAATGCTTTCCCCAACAGTATAAACCCTACTCTGACCTGGATAGAAAAATATCCCAAATAACTAATGCTGCAAAATTAGTTCCTGCAGACAACTACTTTGTTTGCTTACCACATGTTTCCATAGTAAGTAAATACGTTGGGTGGTAGAACTAGTGAAATCAGATGGTCATCATGGAGTATCTGCACATACAGATGTGTTTCCACTGTTTCCACTCTAGTGATACAATGGATAATATAGGTAGTTCCCAACTTACAACTGCTAAGCCTAAGGGCAATATCTGACACGTTGGAGTTTTCTCTGAGACTTATTTCTGGAATAGTTGATTGTGTTTTCCACTTCTTTATAACTGGAAGACAAATTATATATAAAGCAATTGTCCGTTATCTTCTAATCTGTCTTGCCTTAAATTGTGGAATCCTTGGTGCTCTCTGAGCTTGGTTGTTTGGTTGCCAGCATTTAGTTACCTGACTAGATAACATCTTTTTATACACTATATACCAATGGTGGCTAACCTTTTTGGGCTCCCATGCTAATAATTACGTGTGCCTTCATTCAGAAGGCAATGTATGCCGCACGCCTCTGCATGCACATGTGACCTCCACTGTGTGTTTCTGCACATACACGCGCACCCTCCATGCGCTCTGGGCCTCTGCGCATGTGTACGCGTCTCCTGCGCACCCCCCACATGCGTGCCAGATACCCGTCAATCAGCTGGCAGGCTGGTAGGCAGTGTATGTTCATGCTCAGTAGACCTGCTCTAGGTGAGGGCTCGCATGCCAGCAGTAATGGCTCTGTGTGCCATTTCCGGCATGCATGCCATAGGTTCACCACCACAGCTATGTACATTCTCTTCTATTGTTGCCTTAAAATCTCACCTGTCCTTAATGAACAATGTAGGTAGATATTTACTGGCAACTTCCTTAGTTTCATTTTACTCTCCTACTCTAGGCTAAAAAATAATATTACCCCCCTCCCACTCCCCAGTTCATGGAATATACAGTGGCACTTGCTTTCTGCCTACAAGTAAAAAATAGCAAGTTTTTCTAGCTCTTGTCATTTTCTTTGTTCGAAGAAGAGTAAGTCTGTTTTTATTTGCCATTGACATAACCAAATTGAAAATGCATTGATATATTTCTGAATTTGTGCATTCAGAAAGCTGCTGCGGGAAGACCAATTGGAGGCTGTGACAAAAGCAGCCCAGCAGGAGGAACTGGAAAGAAGAAAACGGCTGGAGCAGCAAAGGAAGGATTACCAAGCCAGCATCCCCACTGTACCTTTAGAGTTTCTCCCAGGTAAACTTTACACAAACTATTGAACCAAAAGCTGAATTGAAGCCAGATGACGCAAATAATAAAGGTTAATCCTGTCAGCGTACTAACTTTGTTTCATCTTATAGTGTTTATTTTATTCTTACATTCATGCCCTGCCTGATCCCCCCCCAGGGGTGGGAGGGAAGGACAATATAAGTGTAACTCATAAGTACCTTTGTGAATCACTTGTCTCTATTTTTTTCTAATACATTTTTTCCTTTCGGTATCTGAATTATGTATCATATTAATAATACAAATTGATTTCTACGTTTATATACCATACAGGGAAGTGATAAAGATAATACTTGCTTTAAAAGAATTAATGAAAATATTGTAAAAATTAGTCATTTTTAATAGAGCAGAGCTAACAACAACACTTGTAGTTAGTTAGAACAAATTGGTTCTAACTACTACGCTGTTTCCCCCAAAATACAACCTACCCCAAAATAAGTCTTAGCCCAATTTTCACATCTGCGCCTAATATAAGCCCTACCCCAAAATAAGCCCCATCATCTGGTTGTATAATCTAGGTATCTAAAATCAAGCTCGGCCGGGGGTGGGGGTGGGGGTTGGAACTGCCCCACACGCCCCGCACCTGCTTACATTAGGACTACCATAGCCAGGCTTCCTATGCCACGGCGCATTGTGCAGGTGGTGCCACTTGCGGCAGAACACTGCAAGGTTCATCATGCCGGTGCCACCATTCGTGTGCGCAATGACACAAAGTGCCATGCAGCTTCTGCCATGAGTGGTGGAATTGGTGTGATGAGCCACATGGAGATGAAGGTGGGGAGCAGAGGCAAACCTTCCAATCCAAACATAAGAGAAAGGGAATCATCCTACAGAGCCTTAGCATCCCCTTAAATGGAAGAAGTAACTACTCCCGACCTTCATCTCCTTGAAGGACAGAAATAGGATGGAAATCCACCTCCTGGATTTATCCTGGCAAATCCCAAAATCCCTCTCTCCCTCCTTCTTTCCCTACCAAGCTTCCCAGAGGATTCTCCTGATTCATTCATTCATTCATTCATTCATTCATTCATTCATTCATTCATACTCCTTGATATTTGGGGGAGGAAAATGGGGAGAATAAAGAGAAAAATAAAACTAACAGTTATGGGTCTTTGTACGGATTATAGAGGATAAACGATGGGAAATGTGAGGTGCTGCAAGGTGGTGTCACAACAAAAACAAGCCACCGGCATAGGATCAGAATGTTCTGGGCTCAGTATTGTCTTTTTAACAAATAAAATCCCAAGAAACATGAGGGGGGAGGAGATGCTACCGGGGGAGGGAGGAGGAAGCTGCCCGGCCAGTCTGTATTCTTTGGGAACTGACAGAGTGAATGAGAATAAAGAAAACTTAAAGAGGGGGAAAAGGTTCGGGCGGGGGTTTCGGGTGGCTGGAGCAAGAGGAAAGTGCCCGACCGTACAGGTGAATGAGCCAAGAAAGTCCGCTTGAAGAATGTGGTGGGGCGGGACAGACTCTGACCTGAAGCTCTGGGGCAGGAAGCAAAGCGGGGCGTGGGGGAAACGATGGCATCACCCTCCCACCGCCACTTCCACCCACCGAAGCCCAAATGACTCATCGACTTGCAGGACATTGTCGACGCAGCAGTTGTCAAGCAAAACGATGCCTCTGGGGAAGAGCAGGCGGTTCTCGTCGGCAGTGGGGTCTGTCCCACCGCTGCTGCTGATGTTGGAGACGGTGCTGGCAAGAGAGGCACCACCGCTGGCAGGAACCGTGGAAGCTACGGAGGCGGCTCCCCCGCCCAAGAAGCGGCTGAAATGCTGCCGACGGAGGAAACCTCTGCGGAGCACCAGTACAGATCTCTCTCTCACTGCGGGGGAAGGACCAGTACATGATGTGGCATTGCACGGTCCCCGGGATGCGCTCAAACTGTTCCTCCACCCGCTGGAAGGGCCACTTCTCTGCTACCCGCCATGCCGGGACTCCGGGCTCTGTGTCTTGCCCAATGGCAGCACTCCGAACGTGGCATAAGCCACAGTGAGAGTAGAAGGGAAAGCGGTGGTGGCCGAGGAAGCGGCAGTGGTGGCCGACGAAGGTCCTGCGATGCAAGGTTCCCCGCCGCCACCGAGGCCAACATTCACGCTGCTGCCTGTCCGCTGACCTGGCCTGCAGCCAGCACAATGCCCGAGTCTGCAGCAAAGGCGCTTGGCGGGGGTAGGGAGTTGTCCACGCTCCTCCATGATTGGTCGTTAGGAGCAGCTGGTGGCGAGGCATGGCTGCCTCCGGGGCACTCTAGGCGAGGGTGCGTATGGGGGGGGGAAATTAAGTCATCCTCAAAAAGACAGGCTAGCTGTTTTTTCGGGGGTCAAAATAAGGCCCAGCCTTATTTTATGAGAAACACGGTACCACTAAGATACTTCAGTAGTGTCAAACAGATGAGTGCACTGAAGTGAGGGCAATTTTTATTCAATTTTCTCTCCATCCATTATGTACTGAGTTTATTGCTTTGTTTTTAGAGGAAATTGCTTTAAGAACTGCAGAAGTTGCTCAGCTTGCCCCCCAAGTGTTAAATGAAGAGGTCATCTGCTTAGACAGCACCAGCAGTGGCAGTGAGGATGACTCCAAAGGAAGAATCCACAGCATTAAAGATGGTAAGAACGGATGGAAAATTCATGCCTGCATTATAGCTTCCAACATCTTTGTATCTTTGTATTAGCAGAGTTGTTTTTTCAAAAAAAAACAAACCACAAGTAAATGTTATCTCTTAAGGATTCTAATAATCAGTAACACCCTCCAACGTCCCCAATTTGAACAATAGTTTTATTTTACAAACTTATACAATTTATGAAATTGAACTCTGCATAATTATGCAATATCAAATAATGACAAAGTGTTCAGTAACTGTACTAATCAGAATCAGCCAATATGATTACTTTTGAATTTTCGTACTTTGTTTTTATTTTATTTTTCTTTATTATTCACCTTTTTCCAGAGGGGCATAAGTCACCTTACATATTTGATTATAAAATATAATGGATGTGCTAATCCTCCACATCTGGTTGTGTTGCAGAAGTGATAGAATTAAGTTCAGGAGAAGATGAATCCCTCCATATTGTAGACAGCAGTGATTCTAGCAATGAAGGGGATGATGATAATGAAGAGAGCAGTGGTGCCCACGTGAATGATGCTCTGAATCAGTTAGATGCTTCAGGGCAAGTAATTATTAACATCAACCATCCACCAAACGAGGAAGACATATATCTGGCTCCTCAACTTGCAAGAGCAGTAAAGCCTCACCAGGTACTGAAATTTCTGCTGCAGAAATGTACTTAATTGTCACCAAATTCTCTTCTAGATATTTTACTGTGACATGTCGTTGATTTGTGTAAAGTTTGGTGGGGGGTTTTGCGTACATGTATTTGCATTTACAGATTAGATGCTTAACCACTAATTGGTAGTAACCATCCATAATCCCTTTGACACCATTTGTTACTCTTTCTAGATTGGTGGTATTCGTTTCCTGTATGATAATTTGGTGGAATCCCTGGATAGATTTAAAACCAGCAGTGGGTTTGGCTGCATCTTAGCTCATAGCATGGGGCTGGGCAAGACTTTGCAAGTCATCTCTTTTTTGGAAGTACTTTTCCGTCATATTGAAGCGAAGACCGTCCTGGCAATTGTACCTGTAAGTAGGCTGTACAAAAACATTTACTTAAGTCTGTTTAGGTCACAGGTGTCAAATTGCTGCATCACATTGCCATCCCATGACATTTTCCCATTCATGGAGCTGGGGTGGGCATGGCTTGCGTGTGAAGCATCCTGTGGCCTTCAGTTTGACACCCCTGGTTTAGGTGGATAAAGGACCTTTCAAACACTTAGGAAGTTTTGATGTTCCTCAACTTTGCCTCTTTAAATAAATCCATGAAATATTTGTATAATTTTTTTCCCCAGTGTTTTAAGATATTGGTAGAATGTAATATACATAGTTAATGGATCCCATTTCTTCTTTCTTGCCGTTTTTCTTACAGGTAAATACTCTTCAGAACTGGTTAGCAGAGTTCAACATGTGGCTTCCAGCACCAGAAGCTCTTCCTGCTGACTATGACCCAAAAGAGATTCAGCCTCGCACTTTTAAAGTCCACATTTTGAATGATGAACACAAGTAAGGGGGAATAATTGTATTTCAGATATGTTATTTATAATTGCTGCTGTTGGAGCATTTGTGCCCTGCTTATGGATCTTGGAAAGTTGCCTTGGCAATTTGTACAGATTTCTTTATGACAACGTCTGATTAATTTCAATGTTACAATAAATTTAACTGCCAAAATAAGTAGGGTACCATCCATTAAATTGCCATCTCAGCTTGCTCACAGTCTGAATCTTCCAATACTGTCCTCTTTTATTTTCTTACAAAATATAAAAAAGAAAATAACTTTCCCAGATGAATTAAGCATATAGGAAGAATATTATGCTCACAAAGGGGAAAAAATGAGCACTGTATTGCATTTAAAATGTGAGCGGAAGCCGGTGACATTGTTTGAATGCAACAATGTTTGAATACTTTAGCCTCAGTGAGAATCTAATATTAGTGATAGCCATGATTAATAGCAGGATTTGTTCTATCCATTGTATTTTAGCTTTCCAAATAAACTTTAAATATACCTACATGCATATAGACTTACGTTCTCCTTTTTCACAAAGACTGTCCCATTTATATTTTGTTGATCTGTTTGTTTGTTTCTTCCAGGACCACTGCAGCACGTGCTAAAGTGGTAACTGACTGGGTGACAGATGGTGGTGTACTGTTGATGGGGTATGAGATGTACCGCCTACTTTCATTGAAAAAATCCTTTGCTACGGGTAGAAAGAAGAAAAGCAAAAAGCAAACTGGCCCTGTCATTATTGATGTGGATGAAGAAGATCGTCAGCAGGAGCTCTTGAAAGGTGAGAATCCACAAACCTCCTTCTATGTATATCTGTCATTTCCATTTAAATGATACAATCCTTAGACAAGTGTTTTTACTAGCATTTGGACATGAATAGACACACATTCTGAAATCAGGAATCCACTAAGGCAGGGGGAGCCTCCAAATTTAGCAACTTTAAGACTTGTGGACTTCCCCCTCTGGCATGGCTGATTAGAGAATTCCGGGAGTTGAAATCCACAAGTCTTAAAGTTGCCAAGTTTGGAAACCCCTGAGCTAAGGAATATATTTCCAGTTTCATCAGAAAAGTGATTTTCTAGTTTATGTGAATTCTTTAATGAATTTATAATTCCTTTATTGACATAAAATGTTTAGAAGCAGAGTTTCTCTGATATGTATATAACCTTTCTAGTGCATGTTTCATTGCTGTAATGCAACTTTTTGTGGAAAGATTTTGTGTTAACATTGTCCCAGTTTTGCTGTTTTCCCCTGGTCTGTGCTTCTTTAAAAACTAAACTTCCATTACAAACATGTGTTCTAGTTTCACTTGCCATTGCATTAAGTGTGGGCTGTCATTGGAAGTTGTAAATGATACTTACTTAGCCTAAGACAGGGAAGTGTTCAGTGTCTGTCTCTTATCAGTGTTGTCTTGAAAACTGAAGCAGAGATTTTCGAAATCCAATAATAATTTCTGAGCAGCTCATTTTCTTTTCTTCAAACTCCTTACTGGATTTAGCACAATTCTTAATAATTATACAACTTCAATTAAGGCTAAGGCAGAATAGATTCCTTTGGAGACATTTTCTTCTCCTTTCAGGAATTGAGAAAGCTTTATCCCGACCTGGACCGGATGTGGTCATTTGTGATGAGGGACACCGGATAAAGAATTGTCATGCAAGCACCTCTCAGGCTTTGAAAAACATCCGATCTCGGCGAAGGGTAGTTCTGACTGGATATCCTCTGCAGAACAACCTAATTGAATATTGGTGTATGGTAGACTTTGTACGCCCCGACTTTCTTGGTACCCGGCAGGAATTCAGTAATATGTTTGAGCGCCCTATCCTGAATGGACAGTGTATTGACAGCACCCCCCAAGATGTTCGTCTAATGAGGTATCGCAGTCATGTCCTGCACAGTCTGTTGGAAGGCTTTGTACAAAGGTGAGGCCATTCGCCGCATTCTCAGTCCTTCAGTCTTTATAAGAAGTATTTAAATAATGAGAGGGTGGGAAGCGTTTGGTTCATCAGGTTGATGAATTAAGATTTTAGACCATCATTAGCAGTACCATTTTGGTGGTATGTGCCTTTAAATCTAGTTTTATAATAATAGCTGCTTTGGTAGAATTTTTCATTTGGGGATATGAAAATAACTTATGAGGACTTGATAAATGCTTGATGTATGTAAATTAAATGTAATTTCATCACAGAGTATAATATGTGGAAAGAAATATTCAGTTGTGAGATTTCACAATAATCTGCTGTGAAAAATTAATCTCTACATATTAAAGTGCTGATCACACTCATTCTTTTACACTTATTAATAATCATACCTAAATTGAGGCGTTTGGTATTTCCTCCTTTCCATTCCTAACAGAAGAATGAGGCGCAGGCTTTGAGGGATTTTCCTAATGTTCTTTTCTCTCTTGTTTCCGTAGACGAGGGCACAATGTGCTGAAAGTTCAGCTTCCCTATAAGGAAGAACACGTCATCTTAGTGCGCTTGTCAAAAATCCAGCGGGCTCTCTATACTGAGTTCATGAATAGGTTTCGTGATGCAGGCCACAGCGGCTGGCTGGGATTGAACCCACTTAAAGCTTTCTGTGTTTGTTGTAAGGTGTGTTTTTAATAAAAAGGGAGCAGTATTTTGTGTAGGTTCTATGAAAATATAACATGACGTTAGTATTATTTAGAGATCACTTTCTTTTCATTCTCTATCTTGAATGTTGTGTCTAATTTTTTTCTAACAATACTGTATGATGATAATGCAGAACACAACCATCTTTTAAGGCTTCCTAGGCATTATCTGAGTAGTGGTTACTTGTGATACAAAGTTTTAGATTGCAATTTGGCTTGGGGTATTTTGATTAAATTGCTTTGACTACCTATAGTAATAAGTAAGCAATATTAATGATGTGAAAATACTCGAGATGGGAGGAGCTTGCGCCGTGGCGATACGGTTTGCAATCGAGCTCCTCGATTGCAGCCGATATCTCCGCCACTGGCCGGTCCAACGGACCTACGCTGTCCCGTAGGGACAGCCATCGTGAAGAGCATATCCTGAGGATTCCGGGGATACCGCAAAATCCCTGGAGAGCCCGGGTGAAGCTCTTCTTGCCAGCGGCGGAGAGGCAGCCCCCATGCTGCTGAGGCCGGGGCGACTCCAGACGGAAAGAGTTTGAGAAAGAGTTTGTCGGTTGGGTGAGAACTTCTTTTTTTTATTTAATTTTTTGAATTTGGAAAGTTTACTCTAATTATCTGAAGAAACCTGTGTGATTTTTGTTTTGTTTTTTGACAAAATTGATTTAGCGGCGTTTTTTTAGGGAAACGTCAAAGAGAGAATCCATTTTTTTTCTTTTCTTTGCTTCCGGACACTATTGTTACTTATTGGATAACTGGACTGTTTTCTTTTTTCTATATATTCATATGTTTTATTCTTCTTCTGGACTTTTTATTTTTTTTTTCTGGGCTAGAGGCTTCTCTTGATTTTGTTTGATTTTTCGGTTTTTGTTTTGTGTATTGCAAGCCGGCTTTCCCTTAAGAGAGGAGGGGGGAAAGTGAGAACTATGATACTTTGTAACACTGCCACCTAGAGGCTCGGAAATATTTTTTAAAAAAAAAAAAAAAAAATAGACTCTTCTTCTCAAGGACATCCCCTGATAAGATAGAGGAAAGCACTTTGTGGAATATTATTACAGGTGTCTTTCTGGATATACATGGCTCAGCTTTGAAGCTTGTGGGAAAGAGAAGGGAGTTATAATTAGAGCCTTGGATAATTAAATAGAGTGCAGTGTTATTGTTTTTTTTTGAGTTCTGCCAACCCCTTCACTAACATCAAGGTCCTTACTTTTAAGCTTGATTTATTTGCAAAGGGAAGCCTCTGAATTTCTTTTTTCTACTTATATTTTATTTTGATTTAACTGATTTTATTTTTTCTTTTGCCTATTTGGATCCTGTTTTCTCTTTTTTCCTTTTTTTTTTTTTAATGTACATTAGCGGACTATTTCTTTTTCCTTTTTTTAATTGAGGTTTTTTCTTTTTTTCTTTTTTTCTGGCTGGACTAAGGTGTGGAATCTGAAGAAACTTATTTTTCTTGGTTTTTGTTTTGTTTTTTGTTTTTTCTCTTTTTCTTCTTCCCTTCTTCCTTTTTGGCTTTGTCTTGTTTATTATTATTAGTTTTTTTTTTTTTCTTTTTTTATTGGACTAAGGTCAGGAAGAATTTGAAGAATTTTTTTTTCTTTTTTTCTTTTTTTTTCTCACTTTTGGCTTTTTTATTGTTGGCCTTTTTACCTTGGATTATAATTTCATATTTTTTTCTCTTTTTTTTGTGGATTAAAATTTGAAAAAACTTGAAGAGTTGGAACCACTTAGGTTTGGAGTCTCTCTTCATATTTTTCCATCATCTGTTCCATCCTACCTGTTCTTTGTTCAATAGTATCCATTTTTACCTTAAGATCTTGAATTCCTTGCATAATCATCTGGAAGGATACTCTTTCTTGTTCTTTTTCTTTCTCTTTATCTTGCTTTAACAATGTCTGAATTGAGCGCTGTCCAGATGGTGGGGAGGCAGAAGCAGACATAGAGGCACCCGAAGATATAAATTTCTTACTATCTGTATTTTTAATAATAATTTGGCAAATTAAACTTCTCCAACTTGTAAGCTTTTCTTAAATAAAGCCTCACTCTGTTTCCCCAGCCCTTATATATTTATTTAAAAGATTGCCACAAACCTCTGTTGCTTTTGCTGCAAGAGTCTAATTTGGCTGTCCCTCTGGAATTTGGTAAAATTACTACTGGTCACGCTCACCCCCTTCAATGAGGCAGCCGTAACTGTAGGTAAAGAAAATAGTCACCAGTCTCATGAATGAAAAACACCTAGAATTAATAATAAATAATAAAGTATTTGATAGTAATTGTCAAGTAATTTGCTATCCTCTCTCAGATATGGAATCACCCTGATGTGCTATATGAAGCATTGCAAAAAGAAAATTTGGCAAATGAGCAAGATCTGGATGTAGATGACCTTGGCACAGCTGGTACCAATTCACGCTGCCAGTCACAGGGCATAAAAGTGAAAACAGACAGCAATGCTCTGCCATCTACAATTGGGGAGGCTACCAATAGCAAGTATATTCAGGGCATTGGCTTCAGTCCATTTCAGGAAAGAGCCAATCAGGTTGTAACGTATGAATGGGTGAGTACTAAAAATCAAAACTCTTGGTGGTTTTTTTTTTGACTTCTTCCTCCTTTTCTCTTGAGCATGGTGGATATTTGAAGCAGTATCTTATGTCTACCTGTGCACAAATGTATTACATTCATGCTATGTATGGACTCATTTCCCACAGAGAATATTGTTAAAGGTCATTATTATGTATGAAATAGTTCTGTGTAACATTTTTCTTACCTTTGGCTCTTCTTTTCATTCTTACGAAAAATCTCATGTCTTTCTATCTTACTCATAGCAGCTTCAAATAGGATTGCACCATTTACTGCTATTATTATTATTATTATTATTATTATTATTATTATTATTATTATTATTATCATCATCATCATCATCATCATCATCATCATCATTATATAGCAATTCTCTGATCATTATTGTATTATCTGGAGATCTTTTTATCTGTTTTTGTAGAATGTAGCTGGTAACTGATTTGCTTGTAGGATTATCTAACTAGAATGAGAATATAGGCTATATCCCAGCAGCTTAGGTATAGTGAAGGAAGCTAAGAACATTGGGATTCTATAGTCCTGAAAACTTTAAAAACCTTTTTACATTGTCAATACTTTTGCATACATATGACCTAAAAAGTGATCTGTTCTCCCCACAAGCCCTAAAACTGGATAAAAAAGAACCCCATTAAATAATCATTATACTTGATTAAAGAATAACTTTCCTATGCTGCAGTGCAAGTCCTTGCTTTTTGGCAAATGTTAATGCTTTTCATTCAAGTCCAAAAGTACTCCTGTATTTAAATTCAAAAAAGATTCACAAACCTTTAAGTATCAGTGTAGTTTAGAAGCGGTATAACAATAACAGAGTTGGAAGGGGCCTTCAGGATCTTCTAGTCCATTCCCCTGTCCATTCTCCTGCTCAAGCAGACCTTATATCATTTGGTTGTCTAGTCTCTTCTTAAAAACCTCCAGTGATGGAACACCCACGATTTTTGAAGGCAAGCCATTCCACTGATTAATTGTTCTGTCAGGAAATATTTCTAAGTTGGTTCTCTCCTTGATTAATTTCCATCAGTATATGAGAAGGTTTAGGGTGTTAAAAATCAAATCCTGGTGTAATTATGGTATTTAGGTAGATAATAAAGAAATTGTCATGGGACATGTTTTATGAGAAATAGATTTTTGCTATTTTTTTGGAAGAACTTAGAATTGTATTGCTTATGAATGGATTTGTTTCTGATTATGTTTGTAAGGGCACATAAGATATTAGGGAAATCCTGAATTATAAATTGAATTGTGATGTAGCAAGTGTCACTGAGAGATGTTCTGTTTTACCTGCAGGCTAAAGATATTCTTTGTGATTATCAGACAGGAGTCTTACAAAATTCACCTAAGATGGTACTGTTGTTTCATCTAGTAGATGAAAGTGTGGCACTTGGAGATAAACTGCTGGTGTTCAGGTAAAAGTCTATGGGAAAACATTTAAAGTACATTGTAAAGCAGTGTGAATAAATAAATATTTTTAATTTCAACTGAACTATTTATGAAAACATTACCTCATAGAAAGAGAATTTTAATAAACCCCTTGCTGATTTCCTACATTTTTAAAGATTACCCTTAAAAGATGCTTAAAAATGACAGTGGGTTCAGCCCACTGGAGAACGCCTAGCAAAGAGCACTGTATTATTATTCCTACTTTTAAAAGATTTGCCGTGGTTGCATTTGATTTTGAGGCATTTTTCAACATGGTTTTCCAAGTTGTAAAGAACTGGATGCAATTTAATGTTGCTTCCGTATGTTTCCATGATCTTATAAGGTTCTTGACATCTGAGATACAGTTGGTTTTGACGGTAGAACATCGTCTACTCAATGAATTGAATTCTTACGTCACTTTTTAAAAACAAGGATGATATTCTGTAAAGTAGCTAAGCCAGTCAACTAGAATTTGGGATTAAAGGTTCAGATCTGTTTTTTGTTTCTATTGGCTAGCTTTCATCCTGTTGATTTTATTTTTTACAATGCTAGCAAAAATTTGTGGCATACGACAACCTGAGCCTACAGTACTTCTTTGTGGGAGAAATTTAGAACTATAACAGTTTAGAAAAGGAACTAGAAATATGCAAAAAAATCTGCTAGAATTTTATCTCTCTCAGTATAGCTCCATTGTTGGGTTTCTTCAGTTGATAATATGGAAACTATTCTGCCTTCCATCATTATTTTTACATATATATTAATAATTAACTTGACCCTCTTTCAGTTTGAAATAGTTGCCCTATTGCTATTCCTCCATTGGGCCATGCATATGATGGTGAGGATAGGTTAACTTAGATGGAATCATCATGTATAAAATGGGCTGACAGTGTGGAGAGAGTCTAGATATTACCACTTAAGCTGTACTGTCAAGCATTGTGTGTTTTTTTTGTCAGTTTGACAGAAACTCTTGTCTTTTTATAGCCAAAGCCTTTCCACATTATCTGTCATTGAAGATTTCTTGGCAAAAAGGCCAGTGCCTTCTCCCCCAGGCTTGGATGCACAAGGAGTCCATAACTGGATCCGAAATGTGAATTATTATAGTAAGTACAGCATATTCTTCAGTCTCTAGATACTTTGCTGCTGTGCAGATCTTGAAAAATACCAAAAAAATCTGGTAGCAGTTTTTCAAACTAACAAATTTAGTGAAAAGGCATCAGCTTTTGTGAAAGACAGCTCACTTCCCCAGAAGCATGGAATGACATACTCCATGCCCCTGACCAAGCGTCTGAAAACCCATCCCTTAAAATAAATAAATATATGCATGTCATCTTCTTATTTATATTATTGGTTGCAAGATTTTTGAATAATGTTTTGGTTAGAAGTAGCTTTAAATGGATTCTGCCCTACATCACCTATATTTGCCCTGTATCACATCAGTTCTCTCAAACAATCATACTTTTTGTACTCTATATAATTTTATTTTTATAGAAGCTATGCAAAAAAAAATTTGTAATCTAATTCTTCTCACATAGGGCTGGATGGAAGTACCTCTGCCTCAGAGAGAGAACGGTTGATTAACCAATTCAATGATCCTAGCAACACTTCTGTTTGTCTCTTCCTTCTTTCAACAAGGTAAGTCCGAGTCCTTACTAAGGATAGAGACATATGATTGATTATGAAGAATAGTGGATAGCGTTTATCCTGAAAAAGGATGGAATTTACTTTATTTAAGGCACCTTTAGAATTCATATGGATTTAGTTGGTTCCCCCATATCTGTTATCTTCAAATCCTAACTTCATATTAATTCAGATAAAGCTTGGAACAAAAGCAGTAAATCTCAATTAATATTCGATTTACAAGTACGGTATACCAAGCAACATTTTAGGCCCAGGCAAATAACTATTCATTTTTCTCCCCACAGAGCTGGGTGTTTAGGTGTGAACCTTATTGGTGCAAACAGAGTGATAGTATTTGATGCTTCTTGGAATCCATGCCATGATGCACAGGCAGTATGTCGGGTATATCGCTATGGACAGAAGAAGCCTTGCCACATCTACCGGCTAGTTTCTGATTACACTTTGGAAAAGAAAATTTATGACCGTCAGATCTCCAAGCAAGGGATGTCAGGTAGATCAAGCCTTGCCTTAGGCAGATCTTGCCATGCAGTAGGCAGATTTCTTTTGCTCTCTGAATTTGGCTCTCTTTGCTTTTAGGTTTGGCATAAGATTTCCAGTTCTCCCCATCTTCACCCCACCCACCCCTTTTAAAGGTGCAATCATTTGCTAATATCACAGGTTAAGGGAATGTTATTGGAAATACAGATGAAGCAGGAACTGTAGTTCTTCCTCTTTGGTGATCAATGTATATTTTCTTTAGATCGTGTTGTCGATGATTTGAATCCAGTGTTGAACTTTACCAGGAGGGAGGTGGAAAACTTGCTGCACTTTGTGGAAGAGGAATCTGAGCCTCCCCAGCTTCCATTTAACCCCAATAAGATCAAGGAATCTGTTTTACAGCTGGCCTGTCTCAAGTACCCTCATCTCATCACCAAGGTTAGGAAGGAGAGTAAAATCCCCATATCCATGCTATTTTAATACATTGACTATAAACATTACATCTAATAAAGTACGTATATTAAGAATGTATGGTGCCTGCAAGAAATTAAATTCAAGAAAATGTGCCTCCTCAAATTACCTGTGTCTGTCCCTTATTGATTATCAGAGGCAATATATTCAAGGAACAGGATATAACGAGGTGCTTGTTTATGTCAAGGAAAGCCCAGGGTTGACGTATTGCTCACATATTTCATCAGAGGTGGGATTCAGCAGTGTTACTTCATTGGTAAATAGCATTTCCCCATTGCAACAAATTCCTTAGTTTTATCTCACATTACGACTACCACATTTGTTCAAAAGAGTTGGAGGATTCTCCAGATCAGATCGGAAGTTGCATGGAGAGAAGTGGTGGTAGTATAGATTGGGGTGGTGTGGGAGATAGAAAGTAGTAATATGCAGGTAAAATATACGTCTTTACTAATGGCTGTAGTCTAGCATAAGGACTGACCTCTAGATTTTTGCAATCTTACTACTTGATTATTTATCTGGATAATAAAGATGGCAAGTGGCTGTAGATCAGGGTTCCTCAAAATGATCAGTATCAACCACCAAAAGCCAATGGGACAATCCATTCTTCTTGTTGTATAGTACTATTAGTTAAAATAATACTTATGAAATTATTTTTTTATAATGTTTGGGGGGGTCGAACAATCTGAAACTTTCATGAAAGGGCTGATGAGCTGAAGCGTTTGGGGTTCCCTACTGTAGATGAAGGCCTGGCTTTTTCCCAAAGGCCGGGATATGAATGTAGGTCTGGCATTTGTGGACGTCCCTGCAGGCTTGGACTTGGCAACTTCCTGCTGGCTTCTCCATGGATATTGGTTGTGGGAAGTCAGCAGCAAGTTGCTTTGCCCAACAACCATGGGATTTGGTTAACATCTGCAACTAGCTCTACAGGGATTGCTGTCACTGAGCAATGCAGATGTGTCTTATAATTGCCTTACTTAGCATTAGAAATTTCGATCCCATTTGCTATCATAAATCAAGGACTATCTGTATCTTTAATAAATAAAAAAATACACTGATGCAGGAGAAGGTCCCTTCCCATTCCTACGTCAGATTAAACATTTGTGGCCTAACTCTAAATGTGTACTTCTAAGATAGAGCAACCTGATGTCCTGATATTATCAAGGGGGATTAAATGCTAATTATATAAAATAATATCAAAATGGTCCTAATTGTTTCATTAGACAATTTGGAGGATTATTTTGATTGTTCAGGGACGGGGTGGGATTGTTGTTTGACTTCTTGCTGTTTTGTGATACTTTCAGTAAACCAATGTGCTTCAGATGCAACCTCCTTATGCTTTAATCACCACAGGAGCCTTTCCAGCACGAGTCCCTGCTAATCGATCGTAAAGAGCACAAGCTCACAAAGGCAGAGAAAAAAGCTGCAAAAAAGAGCTATGAAGAAGAAAAGCGTGCATCTGTCCCTTACACCCGTCCTTCCTATGCTCAGTATTACCCAGCCACTGACCAGAATCTGACAAATATTCCTGCCTTCAATCAAAGGAACTGGTGGGTACCTTGTTCCTTTCCATGAAGCTAAAACAGGAGTAGCAAAATGTATCTCTTACTTCTCCCCCCTTGGCAGTGTTTTCCTGGTCCCCAGAATATAGGTTTAAACAAAGTAGGATATTGTCGTCTTGGTAGCTGTGAATAGTTGAAGCTGATATAGAAAATAAGCCAATACTTAGAGTGCATTGAACAGAATCTTATTGCGATGGGGAATCCAACACTGAAAATACCAATAGCACATATAGGCCATAGCACACTGGCTTAGTAAGTACACGCTTCCCGCCTGGGATATTAGGTATATTTTTCAAATTCATTACTATTGAATTCCTGACACCATGTGGGAGAACATGAAAGTATTTCTGTTTAATAATATCACTTATTAAAGACCTTCCTGAGGCGATTGCATATAGAGAAATGAATATGTGATTTGGCAGCTCATGGTCATTCCTTTGCAGTCTACTTATTCCCTTCTTGTGGAAGATCCAGGAAGAGTTATTTCAGCAGAAACAAGGTGCTGGAATGGAAGGTCCTGCTTGTGAAAAGAAGCTGCTGGGTTCTTTCAAATGCTGTAATCCCCTTGGCTTATTTCTTGCTTTGTAGGCGGCCAAGCCTGAAAGGTGAGGACCGGCCAGTGGCAAGTGTGCGTCCTGTTCAGTCCACCCCTATTCCGATGATGCCTCGTCATGTCCCCTTAGGCAGCATGGGAGCAGCTTCGGTTTCCAATCCTGCTATGAACTTCCCCATCAATTACCTGCAACGAGCTGGTGTTCTCGTGCAGAAGATCGTCACCACAACAGGTCAGTTGCTTTGGTGATTACACTGTACTCTACTTTTCTTAGGAAATGAGATTGCACCAAACATGAATTGAGAAAAAAAAATGTCAAGAACACATTGAGGTTAGTTCTCTGATAACAGAATCTTATGTTGACCCTTCATTGCTGTGTTTTATATAGGACAGCCACACATTTCTAAGGCTCAGGACCCAGTCTTAACATAGGTCTAAAACAAGACTCAATTGCCATTACTTTAATTCATTCTGCATGTTTATCTTCCTGATATTTGCTCTAGGGGAAATAGAGAATATTCTTCCATTATGAAAGAGAAAACATTGGCAAAACCATTTGGTCATACTGACATAATGTGCCTAATGAAAATTCTGCACTCTATCCAGCTACCAAATGTGCTGAAGGCTTAGTCATTTTTGTACATGCTTTTCTCTTTTATAAAAACACAAAGTACTTGAAAAGACAAAGGAGAGTGGTTGAAATGTCACTGCTGTAGCCTCCTTCGTTAACTCATCATTTTCCTGAACTAACAGTTAAATATAGAGCATTATCCATTAGTATAATTATTTGCTGGCTTTTTCTCTCCTACTGCATTTTTAAAATATATAAACACATACTGGTTCTCTGTTTTATATAATACCCAGCCAAAAGTAACTAAATGCTTGGAAAATGTTATTTTATTTAATTGAATCCCTTTGAAGCCTCATGCAGTGATTCACATACCTATGATTTTATCCGTTTTAGATATAGTGATTCCAGGTACGAACACGTCCACAGATGTGCAGGCAAGAATCAGCGCTGGTGAAAGCATACATATTATACGTGGGACTAAAGGTAATTGAGATAGTTTTCCATTACAGATTCTAGCTTGTAGTATAGGATAAGGGTGGACTTTATTTACTTATTTTTCTTCGATATTTCCTACCTATTCTATCATCTCTTGTTCAAAAAGTGAAATGCCATTGGGGAAAAAAAATCTCCATACAGTAAAGAAGTTCAACATGGTTTTCTACCACAAATTAACATATTTTGATAGATTTATTTCCTTGCTTCAGATGGACCACATTCATTATTCGTTTTTGATCATACATTTGTTCATTACTGACCTGTTTTAATAAGACAGTAGTGTAATTAGCTATCTCACATTTTTATAAACATATTTTGAAGATAGAATTAAATTTATCAGGAGGATTGAAGGAGATTTTGTCCTTTCCATATAAGGATTTCTGTACATTGTTGTTGTGTGATCTGCAAGTAACAGAGTACATTTCATTTTTTGCCAGAAATCTTTATTTTAGTGGTCTGCTTTCACCTTCACAGTTTTGTCTTAGCCAGATATTGGATGCTGCTTCTTGTCCAAGCTGCTTTTTAAAATCCCCTTTTCAAATAGTCACTTACAGGAGGCAGCAGGAGAGTTGATTGTAAATTGTTTCTAAGGCCTACTTATTTTGCTGTTGTAAAGGACTCTTTCAAGCAGTTCTCACTTAATGACCACAACAGTCTGTCACTCTGTCACTAAGTGATGCAATTGCTAAGTGAAATACCATGTGACCACAACAGACTTATGTCACTTTTCATTCAGCTGTTAACCAAGTCATCATAGGTTAAGCAAGACATCACATGACTGTGGCTTGTGATTTTACTGCCAAGTTCTCCATTAACTGTTTATTGGAAGCTGGTGGTGAAGTGTGCAAATGGAAGTCACACGTTGCAATCATCCTAAATGCAAGGTCTACTTGTAAAGTTATTTTTTCAACACCACCATAACTTTGGTCACTAAACAGGGCATTTGTTAAATGAGGTCTAATTGTACGTATTTTGGACAATACACCAAAATGAACAATACAATGAATTTGTATTGTCGAATACATTTTGTAACTCCATACAAAATGTATTCAACAACCAATAACCTCATTAGGGGGGAATTAGACAACCCATGACCAGTTGTATTATCATTTGAGAGATATTTCCTTCCCAGATTCCTCTATGTCTTCAACAGTGACAGTCCTTCTAACGTGCTGCCTTCACTGGAAAAGATTCGGGGAGATAATGAGAGAAGTATTTGCTTTGAAAATAGCCCATGTTGAACTGTAGAACACAGCCAAACATCAGGAGTCAACCACATGGAATTTATGCCATTTTGTATTATGTCCTAAAATAATTGATCATAATTTGGTATATGATGTTAATTGTACTAGCTCTGGTTTATGAAAAACTATCAAGCACTTTTATCTCATTTGAACTGCTTTGTTTTTATTTATATTGAAAAGGTTAAATAACTGCCCATATTCTAATAAACTTTGAGCAGTTCCCCATGTGTGTGTTTGTGTGTGAATGCGCGCGCGCGCACACACACACATACTGTAGCCACTGATCCCATCCTTTCTGCTTGTAATTAACATAGACTCCTCATAACTTATTGTGGTGTAATGTTAAGCATTCTAAACATGCAAATTACCACCCATGAGAATATTACTTGTAGTTTTGAACACTTGGTCTTTTAGTTACATCCTACAAAACTATTAGGATGATATTATGCCTTTGAGAACTATTGATTGTGTAGTGTTGCTTTCATAACTTTGCTACAATGGTCTGCAATATTTTGATTCTAGAGAACTAAGCAAAGAGTGAAGACATCTTATTGTTGAACAAAAGGTGCTTTGGTCTGTTAGGTAGATGTTTTTTCCTAATAGTCACTATTGTATGTAGAAATGATTTATGTGAATGAAGGCAAACATACGTACCCCAGAATAATGTTTCAGGATCCAATTGAGTTGGTCACCGGGACCAGAGATTTGTTCTTCCAAGCTTTCAGACTAGTGAATCTTCTGAATCTCCTGGAAATTGACAAATTCTCTGATGGGCTTCAGCACAAATCCAAAACTTGGAAGAATGAATCTCTGGTCCAAGTGACTCAGGTTGGATCCTGCAGAAATGGTTCAACTCCTAGGCTCCCAGTTCTGTGCTTCTAGGTTCCTGTGTAACTGATACAAGATTCTGCATCCCAATGAATGAAATTATTCTTACATATTCTTTGAATAAGTAAATGTGGAGAGGAGCTAGCATGCTACAATGCAGAGCCCAAGTCACAACCATAATTAATACCTCCAGTAATGTTCCTAGTCTCCCTATAGACTCCAGAGACATTCCTAGAAAATAACACGATGAGTGAGTGGAGGCATGTCCATCTAGCCAGTAGACAGACAAATGACAAGTAACTGTTAAAGAGTTTGTTGTTGTGAATTATAGTAGCTGCCTTACTATACCTGTAAAATGCTCTATTGACCTACCCATCTCCCAACTGGGGAAGCCTAGTATAATTATTATGATCCATCTCTCCCCCAGGAACATACATCCGGACCAGTGATGGGCGGATCTTTGCTATCCGAACTACTGGCAAGCCAAAGGGCAGTGAAGACCATCGCATGGTTGCTTCAGGTGAGCACCGTTTCTGAGTGTCTCTTCTATTATTTTACTTGGAAAGCGTTCAAAGGGATTATTGATATTCAACCTGCTTTTTCCTAACATCAGTAATAAAATGCAGACCTTAGAAGATATTAAAAGACATTAATTAAAAGAATATATTTGCATTCAGTTAGAGAAATGAAAATTATATTAGAATCAAGCTGAAACAAATAAAGATTAATAAACATTTAGCATTTTAATTCATGTTAAAGCAGGAAGGAAGAAGACCTGACAATGTGTTTACAAGGAGGATGTTTTGTTATGATTTTTATACTTTGTTAAGTGTTATCAATTTAATAAATTTTGGAACTCTTTAGCAGCCAATGAAACTATCTATGCCAGAGTTATTCCAGTCATACAAAGGAAATAAGAAAAATGGTTTTCATGGTAGAAGTTAAATAAACCAGACTTAACTTTATTTCTTTCACACATTATTTAAGCTTCTCAATCTTTAATTTATGGACTTTTTACATTATTGATTATCACGGACACTGAATGTATTTTGAACTCACATAATACATTTCTACCATGCTTTATAACTTTTTAAAATCTTTTAATATAATATTTCTGTGTAGACTTTACCCAGCTTTTAACTTCACTTAAACAATTAGCTTTTTCTTTGCAAACCCATGACAGCCTGGAACTGATGTTAAAAAGAAAATTGATCTGAATATTCCTCTGTCAAAAATCATGCAACAAATGCAGACAGGAGAATTGGTAAAACCCATGCCAAAATCAGCCCCTTAATTGAGTAGAGAAATGAAAAGACAAATGGTGAAAAAACTACAACAGCAATATTGTTCCATTTTTATCACTAGAATACAGGTAATTGCAAGGGATGCAAGCGTTTAGAGTTGTGGTTTCTAAGATCTAGTGTTTGCATGAACAACACTAGAAGCAGAGAGTTTGGAACAAGATTTATCTGTTACAGTAAAGAAAGTACAGGTATACATCACCCATCTTGCCAAAATAATGCAAATTTCCAGCCTGTTAAATTGTGTTGAGAGAAAAAGCTTTAAAACTGAATTTTGAATCCTTCCTTTCTCCCGTCCTTTTCTTGGAAATTGCTGGCTTTCTTCTTTAATGACTTTACTTTAATGACTTTGCAATGAAACCGGCTTATCAAGAGCTATGTTCTGGAATCTCTGCCTGTAAGCTTTTAGTTTTAGTATCACTTGAGAAAATGTCTGACTTCATTCATGTTATACAGCTCAAAAGGATATTGTAATACGTACTATTGAAAAATGGATTGGTTCAGAAGAAACAGCAGGGATATAGGCACTAAATACTATCTTCTGGAGGACAACCAGCATTCAGTGTAAACTGTAAACTTTTCTTAGACCCTACTGCCCATAATAATTTAGATTCCCCACCTGCTACTGAAATGAGTTACTGAAAAACAAAAGTAGCTTACAGTCTCATTAACCAGGCTGGTTTTTTTTTTTCTATGACCTCCTCTGATACTTTAGTGCCATTCCTGGTTGCTTTCTCCATCTTACCTGTTGTTATACTCTGCTTTACGCAGGATCCCAGGGTCCATCTGTTGAATCCACAAGCAATGGCAGACACAATGCCTCATCCCCCCAACTTCCCAACCCAGAGGAGCTCACTCGGCCTATTTCACCAGATAGTCCTGAAATCATCAGCGAACTGCAGCAGTATGCAGAGGCGGCAGCTGCCCGTGAGTCCAAACACAATTCTCCCACCACCAATGCTACACCTGGATACTCTGCTCGGAAAGACAATGCAGCCCACGCGACAGCTCGTGGAACTGAGCAGCGAGTAGGGACACACGGTTTGGCTTCTTCCTCAGCCTTGCCAGCCACTAGTCAACCTGTTGACAGCCACGCAGTGCTGGACTTACGAGGGAACAAGCGTAAGTCAAGTTCACCGTCCGGTCCAGATGAGCAAGCCCATCGGCAGCAGAAGAAACGCTCACTGCCAACAACCGGTCAACCATACGAAAGTGGGTACCCTGTCTCTGGTGGGTTCACCATGCCCTCTGTCCCTTTAAACCACAACTTAACCCATCCATTTGCTCCCCAAGCAGGCAACTCATTGTACATGGGCACAGGCTCCTCCTATTACCAGCTGCCTAGCTTGCTCTCAGATCCTCATCTGATGTTTCCTGTGACTACTGACCCTCTGCTGACAGCGGGCACTGCTAGTTCTTCTGCTGCTACCTCAGCCACCGCCAGTGTCCCCTCTTTCATGTTAAACCCCTCCATGACGGGGGTGCTCTCCAACTATTCGCTGCCCTTCTCACAGTCACTCCTCTCCGAGCCCAGGATGTTTGCTCCTTTTCCATCCCCAGTCTTATCCAGCAGCCTTCCCAGGAGCATGGCATCTGCCTACCCTGGCTTCATGTCACCTCACGCGGGATATCCAGCGGGGGGCCTCCTTCGGTCTCAGGTGCCCCCATTTGACACCCGCGAGGTCTCTGAGGTGGGATGCAGCTCCAACGAGGATGAGGACAAAGATGATGATGTAATGGAAATCACAGGGAAGTAATGGGCCTAGTCACTTCTTATAGATTGCATCTTTGGTCGGGAGGCAAAAATTCCTTGCCGGACCTTTCTGGGGGTCAGGATTTTCTATCTAGAACACAGCAGAAGTGGAGGAGGAGGAGGAGGAGGCTGGAAAAGAAATGGCATGCTTAGTTGTCCAAGATCTGCTTTGTGTGGGAACTGAATTGAACGGACGCCCCTCCCGCAAGGAGTGGGGGGAAACAAGAGTTGGGCAAGGGAAGTATCACTGCAAACCACAGGAGTGCCTCCTTGACTTTTCCCTCCCAGGCTGTCTGTGTTGTCCAAAAGGAAGACTTGCCATTAATATTTCAGTGCCCTTTGTTAGACTGGAGACATCGGGCGGATTTTTTTTTCTTTTTCTTCTTTTTTTGGTGTCTATGGAATAATACTCATACACAAAAACGGCCTTATCTGAGAAAGTTCATTGTCCCATGATCAAAAGCCGGAGATTTGGTGCCCTGAGAAACCTGAGCATGACTTGCGTTCTTGACGGAGGGAGGGAGGTGGGCAAGGAAGAAGCAGGAAACCTGTCACGTCTAGGTGGGACTGGGAGGGAAGGGGGTGGGCAGGGTCTGTGTGAAAATGAATCCTTCATCTTTCCGAGCGTTCAAGGCACATCAGCCCAGGGCCCTTCATCCAGGCCCTCGTGGAGCGGTGACAGGAGTTGGAGAGAGATGGGGTGCAGATATGGACTGCCCTACCACCACCTCTTGCGTTTGAAGGCGGGGAGGGCCATTGGTGGGTCAGTTTCTTCTGGTTTCTTCAGCACCGTTGGGTTAGGACTTGTGTCAATCGTTTCGTGAGGTAGTGCTTGATGGAGACATTTTAAGGCTTTTCTCAGTTCCCCATCTAGCTGGTTTTTTTTTTTTTTTTAAAGTGATTCGTCTCCTGCTGCTCCTCCCTCCCCCCTTTGAAGCGATGATGAGCCTGCAGGTCTGGCAAAAGAAACAAGCTGTCAGATTTCTGTTGACCGGAATGAAGTAGACCTCCTGCTAAAGGGGTTTGCTTGAACTCCTTGTACCTGCTGCCAGAGTTTTTACTGACACTGACTGGATGATCTCCCTCCTCTATAGAACCGTTGTTTTAATTTATTTCATGAAAGTGAAGTATTTATTGGGGAGCTATTTCCCGCTTCTTCTTTGCTAAAAGCAGCTAGGTTGTTTATAGTCTGGCCTGTTTGAGGAAGGAAATAAAGCAACAAGTAGATTGCTTGACAAATGCAGGGGTATGTTATAGGGCCATGGCAGAATTACCCCCCCACCCCTGTGCTACATTGGGGAGACTGGGGGCCAGGGGCATTATTTGGCTAGAGCTTTGTTTATTCTCTAGCTTTTCCCCTTACAGTGGCCAACAGGAAGGTTGGTGTTTGAAGTGACTCTCATCAGTCAGAGACACGGACATTTTTTAAACTAGGTTCCCGCCATTCCAGTGGTTTAATAGTAAAAAAAAAAAAGCTAAAGCTTTGCAGAGGAAAGTCCCCTCTATATTGTTGCTAGTATCTGGCCCAAGTTTTTATAATACGTTGCCACAGAAGTGTGGAAGGAGAAGCCATTTATTTTCATAGAAGGCTTAACAATAGAAGGAAGTTGCAGAGATTTGGCATAGAAGTCAACATTTGCCTTCCTCTCTATTGTGCAGGAAAGGGAGACGGTGGTACCTCTGGGGCGGGGTGGTGGTGATGGACTAATCCCCACCCCCTTTTGTCCTTAAAAGATTACACCGGGTAAATCGGTGTTATATAAGACATTGTCATTCCAAAGACAAGGGATGAGGCACTTGCACACCCCATGACAAGGAGTCTGTGAGAGCATCGCTAAGAAAACCTTCCCAGGAGAGTGGTTCAGATCCTGTTCTCACCTTACCTTGGTGATGTGGTTGCTGCAAAGAAGAACAGTGGATCCACTGAAGTGGCTAAAATTGCCAGACTCCCCACCCCACCCCCACCCCGCCCCCATCACGAAGAACTTTCTCTCTTTCGTGCATTATACCTCTCCGTGAAAAGTAGTTTGAACTCCACGTGATTTGAATGGAGGTAATGTGAAACTCGAGCCTTTGCTCTCACCTTGTAAAAGACCTACTAGGCCTCTTCGTTAAAGAGGTCGTGGCTACTTGTTTTTCATATTGTGAATCAGAAATGATTCTGAGAGAAAGCGCTGCGTGAGTACGACTGTGTGTATGTGTATACTTTTATGTACCATTAAAAAGCATGTAAAGTTGGGTTTTCTGACTACTTTTCTCTGCTAACTGGGCACTGTCTGTCAGGCCTGACTTCACCATTTGTAGAAGCCTTAGATTTAAAGTTAGCTATGCAAATTACTTTAATTATTTTAAAATAAAAACATTAAAATAGTGCTTTCTTCTTTAACATATCCTAGGAGTTGAAAACCGAGGGGTTCTGAGCAAACTTCTGGACAACTTGTCTTTGGATGCACCATGGGATTAAAAAAACAAACAAACACAAACACAACCCCCCCACAAAAATAACAAAGCAAATTAACTGATGGTGTCCATTCGAGTTTCTCCAAAGACTTGGCCTTGGTACGTCTGTGAGTCATGCCCTTTCTGTGATTTGTATGTGTCCACCTCATGCAAAATAAAGTCGGCACTGATTGTACTGTAAACTGCAACCCTCTAGGTTGACTTGGGAGCTGGCTATAGGCAAGGGGGCTTAGGCCTAAGCAGCTAAGCAGTTTTTGGTGAAGGATTTTTTTTTTCCTCCTTCAGGTTCCAGGCAGACCCAATATTCAGTATAGTGAGTTTTGGGCAGCAGAGCTGATAACAACTTGAGTAATCCTACTAGCTCCTGTCTTGACCTTCATGGAGAAACGGGGCAGTCAAGACAAGCTGATACCTTTTATATACTATTAACGTCAGACTGCTGTCTCTAGATTCTCTTGTCTCTTCTGAACATTATATCCAAGCACAGAAGAGTCACCAGACTTGACAGGCTTTGAGGACATCCTTACTGTAAAATATGGGATGTTTGATTAGGAGAATAGATACAGCTGTGATTAAGTAGACCAGGCTCTGTAGTCATCTTTTAAATAGGAATGGAAGATAAAGTATTAGCTGTAGGAAATGGTGTACACCTGTAATTTACTAGTCTGACCACTGGATGGCAATGTCGCATCTCTTGGATTATTATTAGATTTTAACAATACAATATTTTTAAAAATTGGCTTTTGTACTTGGGTGAGAAAAGTATAAAAATGTAAGTCTGACTGTGCACATCTTTCTTCTCTCTCTCTCTTTCCATCCCTCCCTCCCTCTCTTTTTGTTTGTTTCTTTCTTTCTTGTCCTTTCTCTTTCCCCTAAAATGTTTGTGTTAGTGGATTGCTTGAACATAATTCTACCACTGACAGGGTCCATTGGGGTCTCCCTCCACCCCTCACCCCCCCAACATACACACATCTTCAGTGAGACCAGCCACTTTCCGTGAGTTTTGGAAAGAAACACATTTGGGGCAGATTCCTCTACTTCAGCAAGTGCCTGACCTGTGTCTCCTTCCTAATAATAGGGGTTTAAATGTAATTGGTCTCCTAGAGATTAAAATGCATTCCCAGCACTTGCAAAGAGAGAAGAGTGTTGCCACGGGCAATGAAGACCGCTTCATTCGTCTGCTTTGCACCTTTCTTGCTTCTAGAGAGCTTCAAAAACACCCTCTTTCTCACATATGAATTCTCCCACGCATTCACCATCCTTAGGAAGGTGTGGCTTCTAGAAACAAAGGGTGGCTGTTGTGCCTTGTTTGTGAAGAACAGAGAATGCTTGACTTGGGAGCTGAGTCAGAACAGCACAGTACAATGTCGGAATGGTCTCTTCCTTGATGCACTGTATTTTCCAAGAATGTAGTGGCTGCTCAGAAGCAGCCTATGTGTTTGTGTTGTGAGATCTCTTGAATTCAACTATTCCTTTTATCTCAAGGATAATTTTTCCTCCCCTTGCTGGCTTTTTGTTAGATCTACTTGCCAGGATCTGTGCAATTTGCACTGCTAAATTTCAGACCACGAAAGAAACGAGGAGGAAAACATGTATTCTGAATTTACAGGTGGAGCTGAGGTACAGTTAGATGTGCTTGGCTAAGGTCTTGGGATACTTAGGAAGGTTCTTGCATTCCTCGGATGTTTCGGATCTGCATGTAATCTTTGGATCTTCCTTGATAAACCACACATTGCAATATTTCTCTGCGCTTTAGAGCAACAGTACCGTACCAGGTTGGTGTGGTACAAAATAACACTTGATCCCCTTAATAAATGCTTAGGGTAAAGAGGTGACCTTAAACTGTGATATTTTGCAGACCTTCAGTTTCACTCCAATTCTGGCAGTATACAATTTAAAACTAACAAAAGATCATCTTGTTTAGACATAGATTTCCTATGATGAATTATTTTTTGGTGAGGATAACACTGGATGGCTTCTCCCCAACCATGTTAAGCATTGCCCACATGTCTGCATGCTAATAACTGCTCTCTCTCTCTCTCTCCGTGTGACCAAGATACGGAAATTAGGAGGAGCGCTAACCAGAGAGGACAGGTTTGATATTAAAGTGCTCCTATGGTACTGCATTCTGTGGGACACAGTTGTAGGGACATATAGGGGACAGTTTTAAGGAGAAAAAAAACTGATTACAACCTCTGTCAAGGAATCCCAGGAATATGCAAGCTTCCTCTCATAAAATAATGATCCTATTGATTGTTCTATCCGAATTATGTAACTGATGGCAGCAGTGCAAATGCTTCTTGCAAGATCTCAAGTCGAATGAAAATTTACTAGAATTACATATATTTGCACTGAAATCCTGATTTTGGCATTGTAAATATAATTATTAAACTGGAGAAATGGTTGATCTTAGCTCCATTAAACCAAGGGAAATATACACCAGTAGATTAAAACAAAATCGTGTCTTATTTAGTACCAGAACCATATTATATCAAGTCTAGGGATTTAGAAGGACATTTTGGGGAATGCTTGCTCCTTGTAACTCAGTCAGGAAAGCAGTAGGGGAGATATTTGCAAATTTAGGGAAGACCAACAGAAATAGAAACAGAGCTGGCAGAGAGGGAGAAGGAGTCCTTTTGTGTGTGTGCTCTTTATTGAAACAAGACCACTAACAGCTGGCCCACAGCTGCATTGCTTCTTGGGTCCTATATTATTAGTTTCCCTGTTTTATGTTCTCTGTCCCTCCATTAAATCTGTTTGTACAGGGGAGCCAAATGAATTGAATGGTTTTCTTGGTTTGTTTTTTGTTCTGCCTTTAGTTTGTGGCCTGTGCTTTGTGGTTGAAATAAAAAGACATTTCTGTAGCAGGGTCAGTTGGTTGGCTGGTTGCACGCATGGGGTATGTGCTTCCCTCCTCTCTCTGTCCAATGGGATGTGCTCACCCAATCTCCCAGAGCAGAGACATTGATCAATTTTGTTGTTTATATGATGTATTTATTTTTACTTGTGTTTCATGTCATTTTTTAAAAAAAATAAATAAATTGTAAGTTGGTATAATGCCTATCAACTGTCTCTCCTTTTTAAAAAAAATAAACTTCAAATGTTGTGAAGGATTTGGTAATTTTGGTCTGCAATTAGTTTGAATTTTCCCTCCTAAAGGTTTCTTTCACGGAAAGGAGAAAATAGTCTGACAACATGAATTTGCATGTTTCACAAACAACTTCTTGCATTGGTTTCAGTGATATTCAGGCACAATTAACTAGCTAATTAGCTAATTTATTAGCTTAATTGAATCTAGTTAAAGCCTTAATTTCTAGACAGAATGCAACATTTAAGACACAAATGCGTATTGTAATCAGACCTTACAACCAACCAACCTACACTATTAAGAGACTGAAGTTCCATCACTCTTTTTTATATATGAATTTCCATCAATTATAAAGATTTGGTTCAAAGCCTAATTTGAGTTGCACTGATTGGAAATGGACCAAACTGACTAAACCAGATCTGAAGTGCAATTTGGAAACCCAAAACTTCTGCCACTCATGGACTATCATGTGTCATCTGTAAGTAGTTACATTGATATTTATGTGAAGTAAAGTGTTAGTAAAAGATTTTTAAAGGCTTTATAATGAAAAACTTCGACTATTTTTTCCCCATATTAATAGAATTTTAATATTTGTAGGCACAATTCTCTCCCTTCTGCGAAGATGAACCAGGCAGATATATGATGTCTGTGCTCAGAGATTCCTCCCCTCCCCCTCTTCTGAGGGATAAGAAAGGATCTCTCCCCTCAATTATTTTGGCAACAAATACTCAGAAACCAGTAGAACTTGGATTTCAGTGTTACAAAAGGGTAGTTGGAAGATGTTTTCTGCTAAGGGATTTTTCCAAATTGATTCTTGAATAGGAAAGAATACATTTAAATTACTTCCCTTCGCCTCATGTTGCGGTGGTGCATATCACTATCCTATGGTGTGACACATTGGGTATAATGGGCCTACAGGCTCATCAGTACCCAACCCAGAACACTGCATTGAGCTGATTATCTGGTCATCCAATACCAATTTCAACTTTGGTTCAATTAGTAGTCAGCAACGATATCAGAAGCTGACGTTTCATGGCCCATATTCTGCCTGAACTGCTGAGATCCTGTTGCTGGGCGGAGGACTTCAACCTACCCAGATATATGGAATCTGGGACAACACATATTCATGGCAACCACGGATTTGACTTAAGTCATTGAGAATCCAAGACATAGATGGGGTTGCACGCTAGTTTTTATCCTGGGGTGGTTTGTGATGTAATCTGGTAGTAGAGGATATAGCCTTACTCTTTTTGCCACTGTCAGATAATTCTCTGATTGTTTCTGCCCACACCCAAACAGGGAACTAGATTCTATTAGATCGATCTGTTCCAGGAGACTAATGGATCCTACTGACTTCCAGAAAGAGCTTGGGGTTTCCGCCCCGCATCCCACAGTTTCAGCGTGGGACACCTGAGGTCTTGGTAATGAGCATGTGATGAGGACCCCCTTACACCAGATTGCTCCTATGCAGTCTCTCATTTGTACTCTGAGAAACAAGTAGGTGAAATGCCAGCAGTGACTCCTAGAACATGTTCCTAGTCATATTCAACTTTCTATTTTTGGAGAAGACTTGTTTTACTGGATTTTTCAAGGTTGCCCAACTTAGATAACTCTAATTCAGATGAATTCCATCCTACAAGGGGAAGACCTTGTTCTATTAAAAGCAGATGCCACACTCTGTAATGGTTATTTTTATTAGAAAAAGACAACGAAGAGGACTGTACCACATAGGTGCTACAAGTGGGTAAAGCCCTCTTGTTCATTTCACACTTGGGAATAACCTTGCCATCAATCAGTCAGTGTGATCTGAGACCACCATGTTCCTTGCTATGGTCCAGTTTCCTTTGCTACCCAAGAGGAGGAAAAAAGTAACACCTAGTATTTCAGGTGAGGGAAGAAGAGATTGGCTTTTTTATTTTTGAAGCAGGAGAGCACAGAACACCCCAGTAAATATCTACAAGTGTGCCTTGATGGAACTGAATTGGTTAAGAGACCCATAGAATCTAGTTAGAGAGCCCATTTAGATCTCATGTCAAAGAGGTAGAATTCAGACTGGCCTTTCTTCTCGCCTGGAGGAGCCAGGCTGTCGACGTACTCTGCCTTTCTTGCTTTCTGAAGGATGCTGCTGCCACCTTGAGGTCCAGACTTTGGGTCTCAGTCTTTTCCTTTGTTGTAGAGCGTTGCAGAATTCAACTAAATTAGTACCAGATGCCCAGGAGTAGCCTTTGTAAGGAAGCTGAAGGCCTGACACGGGAGGGAGGCCACTGTGGTGGTTCCCTTTGGTTTCTGCATTCTTGCCAAGCTTAGAGGTTACAGCCTCCATGGCCTGCTGCCCTATGATGCGTAGTTTATAGTAGGTAAGGGTTTGAGAAAAAGAGCTGTCCATTCCTTGGCACTGATAGAGCCCAGCATCCTGTTGGGTCAGCTGATTAATCAACAGCCCTTGCTCTAAGATTGAAAAGCGACCTGTGTTCTCAACCTGCAAGGGAACCAGACAATATTCAATCTGCTTGCCAAGTACAGCCACAGAGAAAGAAAAACCTGCAGTATTAGTCCGCTATCAAAGGGTTTCTGCTTGCATCTAAAGTATCCATCCAGCTCAACTCGCTCGTGCAGCCCATCAAGGCACCTGTGGATCCCTTTTGCATCCCCGGCTCCAAAGAGACCACCCAACTTCTCCATTAGTTTTGCTTTTCCCCAGTACCTTCTCCAGAGCTATTGTGTTGCTGCGTTGTACTAGCCAACGAATCTTGGTTTGGGGAGAAAGTGGATGGCACTCAAGGAATGTTGAATTGTTCTGCACACCAAATATCACCTTTTCTTCTGCCATGGGGGTGCCTGCAAGGGAAACCGCAGGAACAAAAATATTTGACTAGAAATTTTTAATAAGAAAACAATATTTTAACTCACCCAGGGCACAACATTTGCTTTGCATTTGCTTCTATTGGTAATCCCATAGAGAGCACACGGCTCCCAATTGTATAGAATAGAATAGAATAGAATAGAATAGAAGGACAGAGTTGAAAGGGACCCTGGAGGTCTTCTAGTCCAACCCCTTGCTTAGGCAGGAAACCCTACACCACTTTAGAGAAATGGTTATCCAATCTCTTCTTAAAAACTTCCAGTGTTGGAGCATTCACAACTTCTGGAGGCAAGTTGTTCCACAGATTAATTGTTCTAACTGTCAGGAAATTTCTCCTTAGTTCTAAGTCGCTTCTCTCCTTGATTAGTTTCCACCCATTGCTTCTTTCCTGCCCTCAGGTGCTTTGGAGACCCCCTCTTCTTTGTGGCAGCCCCTGATTTAACCTGGAAATAAGGAGAACCTTTCTGACAGAGAGAACAATCAACCAATGGAACAGCTTGCCCTTGGAAGTTGTGGGAGTGCCATCACTTGAGACCTTCAAGAAGGATATTGGAAGACTGCTATCATGTCTGCCCTAATCCTTCTTTTCATTAAACTAGACATAACCTAGTTCCTGTAACCGTTCTTCATGTTTTAGCCTCCAGCCCCCTAATCATCTTTGTTGCTCTTCTCCACACTCTTTCTAGAGTCTCCACATCTTTTTTACATCGTCATGACCAAAGCTGGATGCAGTATTCCAAGTGTGGTCTTACCAAGGCATGATAAAGTGGTATTAACAATTCTCGTGATCTTGATTCTATCCCTCTGTTTATGCAGCCTAGAACTACCTTGGCTTTTTGGGCAGCTGCACACTGCTGGCTCATATTTAAATGGTAGTCCACTAGGACTCTGATCTGAAATTGTATTGAACAGGTGATTGGACGAGAAGACCTGTGAGATCTCTTCTAGCACTATGATTCTATGCTATTTGTGGATAAGCCCATCCAAATATCAGCTGATCCTTTCAAAATGCATGGTTTTTTCCCTGAATTCTGACATTCTTTCCTGAAGGATTTCATTTGTTTTCATAATTTGTACCAATAAATGTTGTTTTCCAGAACACATTCCATTTAAAATATTCACAATTTGCTTATCCCTGGGTAAGCACAATTTATATGGTATTTCTTTGTTCAGCTTATCTGCAATTATATGCAGGTATTTTAAAAAGTGTGAATGGACCTCCTTGCAGATAAGCTTTTCAGCAGACAAGTCAAACCCATTTTGGGGTGGTAAAATTCTTGCCTTAACTGTGAGTATATATAATATTTATATAGCTTTACTATATTTATTCACTGTATTCTTTACTAAGTCTATTCTGAATTTAATACATAAGGTATGTCTCTCTTACAAAAACAATGTAAGGAAAGTAAGAGTGGCACATTTATAATAAGTGCTTAGCTGAGTCTTTTTGAACTATGTTTTTTAACCAGCCAGATGCTCCGCTTTGCATATAATGAGAACCCAAAATGTGTTAGTTTACGCATTTCACTGTACCCTTAAAGAATATATTGTTTGGTGTAATATGATGGGTGAATCCAGTCAGTGTTTAAACCCTTCCAGGTAATATTTAACCTGGAGCATGAATTAATTAATCCTTAAAGAGCACATTTCTAAACCAAATGCATTTTCCCAATGACTGGATTTATAGATAAGGGCAGACTTTTAAACATTTTTGAAAGGCAAAGAGTAAAGAGTGGTTGTGATGTACAATTAAACCTTCCTTTTTAGTGTGTGCACCACCTTGATTTTTGTCAACCTGTCCTGCCAGGTGCCCCTGTCCTTATGATACACCTTGCCTCCTGCTGACCAATTCAGCATCCTAGGATTCAGCCCATCATCAGATAAAGTCTGGAGTGTTGTGTAGATGGTACTAGGCTCAATATCTGTAAAGAGGTTAAGGAGGCAATTCCACTACAGTGAGAGAGGTAGGTATTCAAGGCTGTTGTCATCCATTACATTATTTTGTCAACTCTGCAGACTGAACATGTAATAAGCATTACATGTGTTTTCTTGCTGTTGGCTGGTGGACCCCTCCATCCACTTATGTTGAAAAGAAAATTTACTGGCACAAAATAATTACAGGTGATATAGAGAATATAGGAGGAATGGCGTTGTGGTTGCTCTCTGCTCCTTTCAAAAGCAGCTGCAATCATGCAGATAAGCTTCCACATTCACTCAAACTTTCCTCCATTCTCTCAGAACTGCACTCACAGGCATCCAAGCTGGTGTTCCAGCTGCTGGCTAATTGAGCCGCATCCTGGTGTTTTCAAAGATGGGTTGACAGCCAGAGGCAGCCTCAACCCGCCCGGTCTTTGAAGCTTATAAAAACAAATGCTAAGAAAGAGTGGGAAGAGAAGCTGTAACAGGAATTTGCTTCCAAATTTTATCCAACGCTCTCTGTACATTCTGATTGTAACTTCCTGCTGCTTCCAAGGAAGGCTCCTCAACTCACCTTTTGCAGCATCCAGGCACTGATTGATTGGATTGGTCTTCAGCACATTTGGGCACTGTGCTCGCCTGCAAAAGAGACAGTTAATGCATGCACTTAGCCAGTATGCTCAGATGCCTTCGCAAGGGGTGACAGGCAGTGTGGTCTGTACTGTGTGTCAACAAATAGCATTGGCTGCTTGAAGTCCCCGGTGCTTCTTTACCCAACAAGCTGATCTACTCTTGCTTTGTTTCACTTTGCACCAGATGGTGCATCTCCCTCCATCTTCTGTCAGCAAGATAGAACAAGAAACATTCCTCTCTAACCAGTTGGTTGTGAAGCCTGATGATGATTACTATGGAAGTTAAATGACAGTTAGATAATCACACCTTTAGAGAAGAAAAGGTACCTAGATGAAAAAAAAGGTTGGAATTGATATCCTTAGCAGAAACACTCGGTGTGGATTCTTTATGGGTCATGTTAAGGAAAGGCAAAATGAGTTTAACTGCACCATTTGTTGGTTATATGGGCCAGGAAGAATTCTGGATGGCAATAATAAAGACATCTTCAAATATAATAATTGTTAATTTTTGCTCTACAGTCAATAGACTTTGGGAAGCTTAATCTGTAGAGCACCACACCAAGCACTGCCAGGCCCAAATATTCAAGCTTTTTTTTTTTAATTTGGAGAAAAGAGCTTGGGTGATTTAAGCAGCAAAGTGAATGTCTTAACCTGTAGATCCCTGAAAGCCTCCGAATAAATTAGCCTAAAATTGGGCTACATATGGTGATGGTGCAAAATGATTAGGAGCTGAATGGCCTAATTTAAAAATATCAATTTGCTTCTGAAAACTACCCCCCCAAAAAACGTGTTTGGAAATCTGGAATCTTTCCCCTGCCTACCCCAACAAAGTTATATCATATTTATAGTCCTTGGAAATTAAAAATGCAATTCTTGGTTGCAAGAAAGTGGGCCAGTGATAAAGTGGGGAAGGGCGACCTTTGCAAAGCAGGAGGGGCAGAAGGGGGAAGCTTCTCACCTTTTCTTAGTGAGCAGAACAGCCCTGCAGGACTTGCCATCCCAGGTACAATACGGATCTCTAGCAAGGCAGCAATCGGCACACGTTTTGCCATAGAGTTCACAGCGGTACATGGAGAGCTGCACCAGCCCTTGGGCAGTGCTCACAAACAGTTCCTGCTACTCAAAGGACAAAGGAGAAATACTGCCATGCGACTTTTTGTGATACCTTGGGAGTCTTCAGCCTCCCTTCCCCACAAATTCTGGACAAAAATGTTGGAGGTGGGAAGGCAGCAGGAAAGGGAGATAGAGAAGATGCTTTTAATATTGCCCTTTCAGTAATGAGTCAAGGGCAAGACTGAACCAAAAAAAAAAAAAAAAAACCCAACCACCTGATACTTCATTGAGACAAAATTATATTTAATATATATCTCATGCAAATAGAGTTACGTTGATTGCTCTTTGGTGATGCATGTAATCATTTCCCTTTCTGACAAATTAAAAACGGTTACTTAGAACCCTCCAGCAGGACTCTGGAGGCTGCTGTCAAGGTTTAGAGTTATGGGAAGATGCCTTTGGGGACTCAGCTGTGCCCCTTTGCCTGAAGAAAATAGCATACAATTAGTATAACAAATGCTGCCTTACCCGCTTTAGAGAAAATTGCATGTCTAAGACAGCTGAAGGTACCTACAAGAAACAGAAAACAGCAGCAGTTTGCAGTGATACTCTAAATTCTTCCATTTTGAATTGGATGCCTGCCTGCCTGGGTTCCACACAAACTTTAGACTGCTTCATACATGCTTCACAATCATGATGACAACTAGAGCAGTGGTCGCCAACCAGTGGGCCGGGGACCACTGGTGGTCCGTGAGAAAATTTTGGTGGTCCGCAGAGAATTGTCACCCCCAAAGCACCCCCCTCCCAAGGCAATTAATCCAGGCTGCGTGGGAACACAAGGTTACGCTGCCCACATGGCCCGCGGGAACACAAGGCTGCGTTGCTTGCATTACGAACAACACGAGGTAGTGAGGGGAGGAAGGAAAAGGTGGAGGGGGGAAACTTGTCCCGCTCACCCCATGTGCCATGCCTGGCCACCGGGCTACTTCTATTTGCTTCTTTCTTCTGCTTTTGGCTGCAAGCAAGGAAAGCAGCAAAAGTCTTTCTTTCTCTCCCCCAAACTCTGCCAGAAACGAGTCTTTGGGACCCTGCAATGCATCCTGCTCCCAGAGGCTGCACTGGCAAAGGCTCATTTCTGGCAGAGTTTGAGGGAGAGAAAGAAAGACTTCTGCTTTCCTTGCATGAAGCCAAAAGTCTCCCTCTCTCTCTCTGTGTTCCCCCTTCCCCCCCGCCCAAGAATGGAGACGGTATCCTGCGATCCCAGATAAAGAATGATTGATCGGTAGGAAAACAGGGTGGGGAATTTTCCTTTGCGGGGGATTTTCCCAGGGTCTCTGGTCCGCGGGATTTAAAATTATGAATTTGGTGGTCCCTGAGGTCCAAAAGGTTGGCGAACCCTGAACTAGAGGGTGGCAAAGAGTTCAAGTTTTCTAGATGTCTCTGGTGCCATTTAATGGTTATCTGGATTTTTGAAGAGCTATAAATTAAAACCTTCTGCTATAGTCTGGGACATTAATCAGGCAACATCCTTTCCTGATCTGATGTTGTTTTCACACTCTTGACCAGCACTGCAACAATGTTCATATATGCAGGGCTGACAGATTTGGGTGGAGCAGCAGATGACAGTAAAGAGATGCAGAAAAGTGGCAAACCAAAAGCAGCCTCTGTGGGGAAACTGATTATTACTAGCAACACTCAGGAAAAAACGCCATCACGGATATCATGGGTCCAGCTAACAAATCAGATATCTAGTTTCTTCAAACCTAAAGAGAATGAAAATTAGATACAGTCTAATTTTCACTTGTTATTCTTTCACAGAGGTATGGAGGATTCATGGAGGATTACATAAGAGGCATTTATGGGAAGAAAAACTGATTCTTACTCAGATCTTGCAGAATGGTCAGTCTATCTAATGTTATAGGGACACTGTTCTACAGTTTTGACTTCTGGCTCATGGATTAAATTAGTTGCACAAATCAAAGCACTGTATTACAGGGAATTGGACCTTTGCAGTGACAACTCTAGCCCACAAAGGTTTTAAAAGAAACAGAAGTCTTCTGATTACCTTTGAAACCTGGATCTCTTCCAAGCTGATCTCCTGAGAGCCTCGACCTTCTAGGTTGGAGACGCCCACCTTAAGCACTTTGCCTTCATCTGTCAGAAGTCAAACAGAGGAGTATGTGAAGAGAACTGTGGGTGGGAGTACCTCCTTGGACTCTTGCTGCATGGAATTATGGTAATTATCATTACCAGGCAGGAGTTTCCATATGAGAGCAAACCCATCCCTGGAAGAGAACACTCAGTTAGAAAGAGATGGGCCAAAAGAGATCTATCTTTCTATATCCTTCTTCATTATTTTAGGATCACCTTACACATTGAAGAAGCTCAAAAGATTGTAGCTGCAGGACATCTATAGATAATCTTATTCACCAAGGTGCTGGAATTATCCTGATTTCAGAGGATGCCTTTTCTCAGATAGCTCTCTCTAGCTATGCAGCTGAGGTTGTGAAGGGTGAGGCCACGCCTTGTGGATTATAGGTATAGTTATCTCAGGGAGAGGTCCATTTCTAACATGCAGCATCTTTACATGAGATTTTAAAAAATATGCCAATTTCAGAACAATTTAGGGGCACACCGAACATATTTTCATTCATCGAAGTATTTAAATTAGGTGATGGGTGGTTTTCCAGAATGTTTTAATTTTTTTAAAAAAGGCAACATCATTAATTTCATCTAATATGCCTTCTTATGCTATGTAATTCTACAGGGACCATGACATAATGAATGTATTTCAGAATGAGGGTCATTTTGTTACTTGTTTGATACATTTTTCAACTCCTATCATAGCTTTTCTGGGAAAAAAAGACTTCTGACTTCAAGAGCGATCATATCTGGACAAATTCATTGTTATTTTCTTTGCTGTGTTTTATGTTTTTGTGAAACATTTCCTAATATTTTATTAGGAGTAATGCAATGAATTGATGCTTTCATATTTTTTTGGTTGAAAATAAAACTCTATCATTTTAACACTGTTTTATGTTTTTAGTATATTTTAAAGTGGCTGCTATTAATTGCTTACAAGGAATTTGATGTTTTAGAGATTCTGTAAATACTTCAATAGTCTGGCTCAAAGGGGTACCATTTAATTCCAATGACTTAATAAGGGAATTGTAACCAGGCATCTGAATCAATTAAATAATACTGACGTGCACAAACAATCCCAACTGATACCCTGGGCCAAGATAAATATGTGGTAAGCTTGTCAGTAAAGGAGAAGGAAAAGCAGCAATCGCAGCAGAACCGTATTGTTTTTCTGAAGCAATGATGGCAGGGTGGAAGACACTGTGCTCATCACTGGAATCCTTCTACAACCCATTGGAAGAAAAAAGAGTGGGGAGAAAATAATTCCAGAGCAAAAAAATGAAATAACTTTTTAAATTTTATTTTATTTTTAATTATTGGACCTGGCAGGATCTGGAGACAGGAGAATAGAAGAGAAAGAAGTGGAGAAAATGACAAAACACAAAGACTTGAAAATTAAAGTGGAATGACTGGCAAAAAAAAAATAGTAAACATAGTACCAGCAAAAATAGGTGTGTGCAATCCCAAAACATCTGGAGCACCATTTTCAACACCATTAGTGTTGGCAAAATCATCACCAGTCAATTGCGGAAGGCTGCATTATTTAAAATAGCTTATATCATGCAACAATACTTTTAACACCATCAGACAACAACTGCCTATGCCAAAGTTTTGGGGAGGGCTTGATAGGTGCATAAAAATGCCAAATCCAGTCTAAACATCTAGCTGGCTATGTGACCAACCATAATAATGGCAGTGGCAGTGCTCATATTGGTAAGATAATCAAAGATGATGATGATAATTTTCCTTCCACTGTACAAATGTAAAGGAGGAGCGGAGTTGCTTCCACCATTAATCTCCCTCAAATTAGCATCAGCCAATTGTTGCCCAATTTAGATAATACCCCTGCATCTCAACACATAGGCTCAGGTTCTACTCACCTTTACTTTAAAGTCTCAAGCCATATTTGCTGTTGAAAGTGAGCAATTCTAGAACAACCATAGTGTTGCTGATCACACAAAAGCATTTTGAACAGGGAGAATTGTGCCTTTAATGTTACAGTCTAGTTATTTCTTCACTTTCCTTTGCCCGTTGCATGAGTCAAACCTCATTTCAAACCGTGACTTACAGTAAGACCAGAACATCTTTGCTTGAACTCCTCTACCTGTTCCAAGGAAGAGGACATCAACGTGTCCTGCCTCAGTCTCCACTCTGTCCACCAACAGATGCCGGATACCGAAAGGCACATTGACTCTAATCAGAACGGGCTTCCTATGGAGTGGGTAGATGGGGTCCCACATCAGATGATGAGTACGCATGAAGCTAATCACTTCATCGGGGAAGTCCTTGGTTGACTGCAGGAATGGGTCATATGTTTCACTGGGACACTAACAAGAAGAACGGACATTGAAAAAGGAATGGTGCAAAATTAACAGTCAACTCCACAAAACCTAGCCTTGTGATTTACATAGCTAAATCTATTAATATCACAGTTCAGTCTAATTGCTTTGTGCCATGCAAATTTTCATAAAATGTCATGCGTGACAGCATACGGCACAATCATTTTCCCAGGATATGACAATCTTCTGCATTTTCTGAAACCTCCCGACTTACAGATTGGAAGCCTTTCCTGGGACAAACAGCTTCAGGACCATTTGTGGAACCCATGAGGGGATCCAGGACCCAGGTTAGCCATCTCAGAAATGAATCACGCAGGGAAAAGAGGTCTTGAAGAGCCCTTGTTGCCCAGGTGGGAATAGACAACTCCCAGAAATAATCTACAGTAGTTTAACTCTGAGAGCAGCAGCAAATATTTTCCCCGGTCAGTCTTTATATGACAAGTTAGAGAAAAGTGAATAAGGAAAGTTTTATGTACTTACTGTTCCAGGCCGAGGGTAAGGGATCCGTCCTTTATATTCAGCCCACTGATAATCAAAGCCTTCCTTGTGTGCAAAAGGTCCATTGAAGGCAGCTCGAATGGCTGCCAGGGAATAAACACATACTGCAGAACCACTAAAAATGCCACTGGGAAAGAAAAGAACAATGTAGGGAGATGGAGCGTATTGGTCCAAGAGATATTTCTTGGTACAATATCTGCCTTAGAAAAAGACTTTCTAACTCATTTAAAGGTCATGAAATTGGAAGATGAATGCCTGAGGTGGCCTTGGAGCAGATGACCTTCAGAGAGCCCTTTTGTTTCAAAAGCATTCTCACTGCTCTCTCATCTTTAACAGGGGATCTTTGCTCTCATCAGTTTTCTTCCAGGTCATCCCTTCACTCAGTTAAAGCTGGAGATTATGGGACTTGAGATTCAACACGTGAGGATCACTGCCTTAGTTCTTCCCAGCAGTTGAAAACTGCATGAAATCCTCTGCTCAGCTTCATCCTGCCAGATAGGATATGGTGATGGGAAACCATTTCTGCAGAGACTTGAAAGAGCTACGACAGAATCCTGTTTCAGTGTCTCAGTTCAAAGCCATTCAGATGGACTAATGTGCATGCCTTCTATAACTGAAATAACAGAATAACACAGTTGGAAGGGACCTTCAAAGTCTTCTAGTCCAACCCCCTGTTAAAGCAGGAAACTCTATGCTATTTGTATAATAAGCACTATTCTCATTCCTGCTGATACAGGCACAAGCAATTCTTTTCTTTTGTCATATGAATTGTAAACACTTCTGCTTACCTGGAAACTGTGAAGAGGCCAAAAACTAGAGGGTTCTGTATGTTACGGGTTTGAAGGAGGAAGACATCTTCTAGAATACAGCAGGATACACCCAACTAGGGAAGAGCTTTGAATAATTCCCGCCACCCCACCCCAAACCCACTATACTCATAGACTCCATTCTAGAAATTGCAGCTCTTAATATGCAAGTAGCCTTACCCAGCTGATCAAAATGTGTTTCGGTGCCCTGGAGACCTGGGATAGAGCAGATCAGCCGCGCTTTAAGAAAAGTGGTCCAGCGATTGATAAGGCTATGCTTCCCACCAATATCATTCTGCCAAATAGAAGCAGGAATAGGTCAAGCACAGTTTTCAAGTCCATCCACAACTGCTCTCCAGTACTCTTAAGTGATTGCTTTGAAGGCATCCATTGCATCATGTTTACAGTCCCGTGTGGGCTTTCTTTTAAACCCGGAGTGGTGAATGCTGTCTAACCATGAATAGAGAGGCAGATACTTAGAGTTACTGTCCTTTTACTGTTTTTCCTAGAGGAATGATGCAGAGTTAAAGGAATTTGAACATCTTTTCAGTGCATGTTTTATCCAATGTGTTCTTAAATATGCACTATTTACCTCTGCCTCTCTATTAATGGCTGGATAGCATTCACCTTCTTGTGTTTTAAGAAAACCCACTTGGGACTGTAAACATTCACTATGAGTCATGTGGATTTGATCCATCCTCTGCTGACATCCCTTAAATTATGTGAGCTTCTGGCAGATATTTGCATGTTGAACACAGATATTTGCAAGATAGAAGTCACAAGGATCAAGAGCTTGCTCATGTAGGCATTTGACTTACACGGAAACCAACAGACATGCAATTGTATGCAAAAAAGCTTTTCTCTGACCGACGGTCACACTCAACCGCCCTCTAAAGGCAGTCATCGTCTGAGTGATGTCATGACTTATGCACTCTAGATTTCAGAATGCCTGAACAATCTCAGAAACTGTGTCTACAGGTAGCTATTTTGAATTAGAGTACTAATTCTGAAATTATGAAAGACCCCTGCGCTGGCAAAATGCCCAGCTGTATTTCAGAAAACTAGAGCAAAATTCAGACTGGATGTCTCCAATGCAGGAAATAGTCATATTTTAGCCCTGATCTAACATCGTCTGCTGGTGGCTGATATCCACCTATCTTTTGCTAGGGGATAATGCCATTGTTTGGAAAGAGCTTCCTTCCCAGGAAATATTCAGATAGCACCTCAGTTAAATAGAGCTGAAGAGGTGCTTTCTAAGCTACCCAAGAAGCACTCACGGCTCACCTTGCAGACTCGCGCCACACGAGCATGGATACGCCTTTTTTCCCACTGTCCAGCTTCCACTGCAGTTTCCCGGAAAAAGATGTACACTTTATCATCCTCGTGGCTGTAAGTATCAGGAATGGCATGGGCCTCAATAAACACTGGCTCTGCAAGGAGGGAGATTCAGGTCTAAATTGCCTGTTTCTTCTATTAAAAGAGTATGTATTGCAATAGATTTCTGGATGCAATTCCAAGGGCCAGTTTTGATTGATAAAACCCTACATAGCTTGGTGCCCAAAGTGCCAGTGGGATCACTGCTCTGCTCTAAACTGAGTTGTTCCAGCTGAGATGATCTTCTCTGGAGAAGCTGCTGGAGGTTTCCCATTTTTATGACGCCAGAGTACATTTTTCATCCAGGGCATTTAAAAAGATTACAGAATAGCCCTCTGTAATCTCAATGCTAGAATGATCTCTTTAATGATAGCCTTCCAGAAAGTAGCGAGAATCAAATTTTTCTGTAGGAGATCTGAGGACTGATTGTTTCACTATTAGTATTCTTGTATAATTGTAATGGTTATTTATATATATTTCTAGGGTTTTTTTTTTTCTTTCTCTATTTCTCTATTTTACTCTTGATGTTTTATATTTTTATGACTGCTATGCAAACTGCCAGGAGTCCATAAGAATAGTTGGCGGTGTATATGTTCACTAAATAAGTGTTTTAAAATTAGAGTTTTCTATTTAAAAAAAAAAGGTGTAACCTCCCTTACATACCATTTAACCAATCATCTTGGTTCTGCTCCGTCCTGATGTAGTTTTGTTCAGGCCTGTCAAGATGAGTTCGGAAGAAAGCAGCATTGCTTCCCATAAAGTCAGTGGAAGTGCCTGAATAAAGTTCCCCATCTAGGAAACCCAGGAGAGAAATCCATGGATAAAATGCTTGCATCTTCTTTCTCTTGTATACTTTCTTTTATATATGTGCATTTATCAGTGTCATTCATAAATCATTAGATCGATATATATGGTGTATGTTTATGAATAGACTTTGTTTCATGTACAGTAGTACCTCAGTACTCATCATTAATTGGTTCTGGGAGTCACAATGAGTACCAAAACGATGAGTACCAAACAAATTTTTCCCATAAGGAATAATGTAGTGACTCACAAGGCAATTAACACTGACAAGTTCTAGCTTGTGCGTTGAGTACCAAACAAACGATGAGTACCGGGATTAAATTTTCACAAAAATATGTGTTGAGTATCAAATTTAATGAATTTCAAAGCAGTTGAATACCAAGGTACCACTGGATATGCATATGCATATCTGCTTTGCATGCACCCCACACAAAAGGATGTCTCTCATCATTTTATTCTGTACATTTTGAGTGAGGAATGTAAAGTGAGTTAGCATGTACCGTAGCTGCTTTTCTCCTGGCTTTCAACAGATGAAGTGTTTCTTGAGATAAGATGCAATGTCATGGGAAAAATACAACTGAAATCTCTATTGAATGGATGCCTAAAATATATATACATTGTCAAAGCTTGGGTGGAAAGGACCACATGCCCTGTATTTCTCAATCAACAAAGACAATAGCCATGTTGTTTTAGGAGAGGCAATCCAACATATCTAAACATTAGCAAGTTAGGGAAAGCTATTTCATGGCTATACACACACATGCAGAGATGCTGTGTGGGCTCTTCCTATGACTACATTGTCATATGTTTCTGTTTCAGCTTTCAGTTCACAGATGCTCTTACCTATTAGCTGTCCTGTAAAATGCTCATGGGGGCTATATGGACATTTGCCTCTCCCAGATTCTGTGGAATGGGTCATCAGGTGCATAGCTAATATTCCTGATTCCTGCAATAAGAAAGCACTTCAGTTTGGTTTAAAGAGTAAGAAAAGCATTAAGGAACTGGAGGCCCTCAAAAGAAAAGGCTTAGTAGTCCAAAAGGGGTACCTTTAGACTTCCTGAGCAGGAGACAGGAAGGTGATACCCCATAATTGTAACCATCTTTTTCTCGCTGTGAAATATCCTTGTTATTTGAACAGAGAAAGGATTAAGTTTTAGGAGTTTTAATGATAAATAATCCAGGCCTGTAGTATGGGTTTTTTGACAAATCATTTTTTTCATCCTACTCCACTATTATGCATTAATGAGACTGATAGCATTTGTCTATTCTTACCTATTCTACCCAGAGTAGTTTTTTAAAAAATAAATCAGGAATTAATTACATTCTGTCATGTAGTGAAGCAAATTAGGGAACATGAGTGTTAAGAAATATATGCTATTCATTTTTTCCTTTCCTTTCCTTTTATTTATTCATTTGTTAAATTTATTTGCCACCAGTCTCACTATGGGGCTACTCTAGGTGACTTACAACAATAAAAAGGAATATCTTTTTTCATTTTAAAAACTTTTATTACACTAATGCTAAAGGTGACCCTTAAAATAGGATGGAGTCTGATGGACATCTATGGAGCCAACCCAGGCAAGAAGATTGCAGGAGTGTATTCAGTGGGGGAAGAGGAGAGAGGGCAGAATCACTGCAGAGGAGATTGATTACCAAGAAAGATTGTCTGTAAATATTAGTTTCTTCACTGGTCTGAAAATGGGGCATGGACAGATGCTCAGGTAATTTTCTGAGCCAAGTTTGACAAGCAGGTAGGGGCTCTTCTAATTTTCAGGGAAAGGACTGGGCCTGGTAGGTGGGTAACATTTTACCTCTGGTTTACTTACATACATACATGCATACATAAATGCACAAAGATTAAAATAACAGTTGCAAACAATTACCCATGATGCCCATGGTTGAGAGCAACAGAGAAAATAGATGGGCGGATAGTGCAACTATAGTAGAGCATTTAGAATTCACTGCCAAAAGCTTTTGCTTCGTGCTAGTTGTTCAGAGTACCAGCCTGGTGGCTGAAGTTTACCTTTGCTCCAGCTCTGAGTTGGATGAAGGCACACACAGGTTGATAGGAGCCAGTTCCACAGGCAAACACATGAGTGTGGTTGAAACGCTGCAGAAAGCGAATGAAATTGGCACATTCCGTCTGGAAAAGACAGAAGGATAGGTAGGTTATACTTAAACAAATTCTGCTTTACGTGAGCACATATTCCATGGGAGAAAAAAAAATCCATATCTCTGGTTGTCATCAGTTCTGAACCTAATAGATATCATCTGATTAGATTTATTTGCTAAGAGAAGAGCATCTCCCAGCATGTACCTTTAGTTTGGCATCCCTTTGACCACCCAGATCTGCTCCAGGGGATTGAGACATTGCCTAGGGCAGATTTAGAGTGCAGTCAAAGGTAAAAAAGGCAAATGCCATTTGAGCAGAAAACTATTTGCTTAATGTTACATAGATCTAATAAGTCTACAGTAGTGTTTCTCAACCTTGGCAACTTTAAGCTGCATAGAGTTCAACTTCCAGAATTCCCCAGCCAGCATCCATACAGTTTAAAGTTGCCAAGGCTGAGAAACACTGGTTTACAGCATGTCTGTATGAATTGTTTGCACTTCAGCACTTCAGATGCTGCCCAGATAATCCATCAACCCTTCCATGCCCAGAGGGAAGACCTGGCATTCTTCATTTGTACCATGCAGCTGGAAAGCACAAGGACAGGTCTTACTAATGTTACACTGAAGGCCGTAACAGCGACCCCAGTGACGTTACATAGAGCTTAAACTCATTACTTTCCTTATCCAAGAGAGTTCCATTGTTTCAGCCACTGACTAAACTGTGTGGCAAAGGCAGATGATGTTGGGTGGATTCAAAAGGAAGATGAACAGATGCCTATTACGCCAATCCTAAGGAATAATTAGAGGGGGGGGGGAATGTGCTACTGAAAATTGGCCTTTTCCAACTGAAAGTGCTGCAGTTCTTCACAGTTTGCAAAAGACGGCTTTGCAGGCCCAAAGACTTCAACTTGCTGATTGATAGCTCAAATCATGGGCCTGAAAATCTTATTTACCTCAGGATTCTTCCCAGCCAGTCTGCAATGCTTCACTTGTTCATTAGGAGCTGGCCAGAAAACCTGGAAATAAGAACAAAAGGAAGATAATAAATGCCTGTTTATTAAACAAATGAATAAATAAACCCCTCCCCCAAATGCAAATAGTGCTGTCTGAGGTATTTTGTTCCAATGCAAAGAGCTTCAGAAGAGGATTGTTTTTCTTCAGGATTCCAGCTGACGAAAAAAGGGACAAATTTCTCTACTCCCTGAACATTATGTGCCCTTTCCTCTGTATGTGAAACATGAAGAGCCATTTAGAGCCACATCTAGTGGGGCAGTACAAATGCTTAGAAATGGATGCTCTACAGCAGGGATCTCCAACCTTGTCAACTTTAAGACTTGTGGACTTCAACTCCCAGAG